CCGCTCCACCGCGCGGCCGCGGGGGGGCCCGGGCCGGGAGCGCCGTGCCCGGCCCGCGGGGAGCGGCTCGGCCCGGGGGCCGCTCCCGGAGCCCGTGGGCGCGGAGGGCGCTCCCGGCCCGGGCTGCGGGAGCCGAGCTCGTTCCGGGCACCGCGTGGCGCTGCCGGTGGGCGGACATGCCGGTCCCGGGGGTGGCGGGCACAGCAGAGGGCTGGGTCCTCCTGCAAGTTCGGGCTGCGGCCGCCACTGACACGTTAGACAATACTCATGAGCAAGAGCTTTCCTGGAAAGGGCAGAGGCTTGTTCGACATCTCAGCTGGAAATTGCAGGTTTAACCAGTTATTTGCTGGCTGTTGTTGCTCTGTGTCGGAGCCTGAGTGGCTCAGGCCAGGCTCAGGGACAGCGTGCAGCTCCATGTCCTCACTGCTCTCAGCGCCAGCTCCTGGGCTGGCACTGACCCTGAGATGCCTCCAGCTGCCCTGGGTTTGCTCCGTTTAGTTGTTTGTACTTTCAAGAACTTAGGAGCCTGAGCACCCATCTCAGGCTCAGCTCTTTTCTCTGGTCTCTAAAGCAAAAGGCATGGAAGCAGTGTGGCTTGTGGCTGGCCTTCGTCCCGAGGCACGTGAATCCCCTGACTGACCCACAAATTGCTTCCATCCCCCGCTGTTTTTATGGTATCGAGGTGGATTTTTGAAGTTTGTCACCTGAAGCAAAGTTCACCGGCGTTTGGTAGTGGAGCATGTTGGATGCAGTTCAGCAGTGGGAAGCTCAGTGCTCGTAGCCTCCCTCTCTCACCCCCGCGTTGAATTTTGAAGCAAGCATCATGCCTGCAGTCCCAGCAACCAGGTTAAAAAGTTATGTAGTGTAATCTCTGCCTCTCCAGCCACAATTGATTGCTGAGGGAGGGTGGAAGGTGGAAGAATCCTTTCGGCATGGCACGTGGAATTTGGGGAGGAGCAGAGGAAGGTCTCGCCTGGGAGCAGGGCCATCCTGGCCACCTTGGAATCGGCCTCACAAGCTCTGGCTCCTGGGCTCTGGTGTTCCCACTGCTTGTGTGCCCTGCAGAGCACCCCTGTAGGGGGGCACTGGCTGTGTCTGGGGGCAGCTCTCAGTACCTGGAACCATGGGCAGGCTGTGAGTGGGCTCCTGGCTGCAGAACCCCCCTGAGCTGTGCCAGGCACCCAGGCTGGGGTGCTGGGCTCTGTGCCAGATGAGAGGGCTGATGGCTGCTGCTCTCTTCCCCCAGCCTAGAAACTGTTGAGGCTACTCTGACCTCCTGAGTACAGAAACACAAAAGCATGGACACTTGGGGTTCCTGTAATGATTTCTGATGGGCTCAGTTTTGAGTTGTTACCTTTGCTATCAGCTGGTGTGAGATCAGACAGCCATTGTGTACGGCCTTTCTTGGATTACTTTTATTCCTACAGTCTTCTCTGCCTTAGAACAAGTTTCTCATGTACAAGTTTAGCAGTGTTTCTAGCTGCTGTAAAATGCCTTTCAACCTTGCCCTGCCCAGATTAGTTTTCTCCTGGCTCAGTCCCTCTGTCCCCAGCTCTCCAGACAGCCCTGCTTTCAGATGCGTCTTCTGTTGGAGCAGCGGAGAATGCAGGTGTTAATGGAAAAGTGCTGTGGAGGCAAGTGTAGCTGTGCATTAGCAACAAGGTCAGAAGGCTGATTCTTAATCTGGGGATCTGCTATCGCTGTCTGTTGCCCAACCTTGGAGGTTCAGTGGTGTTTTGGAAAGGACTGAATTGCTGGCAGTCGGGGTTTTTAATACGCAGCTCTAGCAGGCTTGGGGGGGACAAGTTGGAGGAAAGTTGTGCAAGAGAAATCTGATCACTGCTACAAGGTTAAGAAGAGGAAAGGAGTGTGATAACACAGCATGTGCACGGCAAGATGAGGGATGGGAACCCGAGGGAATCGTGTTCGGGGCGGTTCTGTCAGTGGGATAAGAGCTGAGCTCCCACTGGAAGCTCTCTGCTCTGCCTGAGCAGCCTTGCTCCTGGGTTTCCCAGCTGAAAAGTGGAAGTAAGTAGGTCAGGAACACGCACTGAGATAAATCCACCTGCAGACTCAGAACTGCCTCCTGCACAGTAAAACCAGCACCATGTTGCAGAGTCCTGTGTTTACCTTCATTGTCTACATGACTAAACTTGGCAGCACACCCCTCTTCTGGCACAGCTTCCCAGCACTTGCTTTACTTTCCTGCATTGTGCTCCATTGGTTGTGCTGGAAAGTTGTTATTTCTAGAAGCTTTACAGGTCTGAAGTTCATGCATTTTTTTATTTGCATTTGAGAAGCAATGCCAGTCCTTGGGGCAGTGCTTGGACAGTATGCCAAAGATGAAAACCAGCACGTGGTTCCTCCTGTGGTGGCATTGGCTGTCACTTTTGGCAGTAGGTCAGGTTTTTGCCATAGTAGCAAGGCTCTCTCAGGATTAGCTTTTGGTTGGCATGTTTTTCTAAGAAAGCATTTCCTTAGTTTGTCTTTCACTTTAAAGAGAAAGTCTCTACTACAAGCTGTTGAAGAGGCCGCGGGCTCAGAGAGATTGTATGTAGTTATGTGCAATGACATAAAACTGCAGGATCATGAGTCTTGCCCAGAACTCCAGCGGGTTGGATTAGCCTGGGACTAGCCCTGCTTCCCAGGCTCCCCACTAGCCAGCCTCCTGCCCTTGGGGTTGGATGAGACTGGGGGTGGTAATGTGGGTCCTGGCTGGTAGCAGGCCGTGCCGTGCCGTGCTGTGCGTGCTCGGTCTTTGCTGTTGTGTCCCTGGAGGCTCAGCTCGGGTTGGGCTGTGGTGCCAGCTGGGGTCAGGGCACTGTGCAGCCGGGGTGGGTCACTCGGTGTCCCTGGGGAGGGGTTCCTGTGGGGCAGCAGCTTTCCTGGGCTGCTGCTGGCAGCACTCTTGCAGAGCTGTGGGAGCTGCCGTCCCCTGAGCCGTGTGTGACCCGAGTGGCCACAGCTGCACTGCAGGGCAGCCCGAGCTGCTGAGGCCATCGCAGCTGCCAGACTTCCCCTGCAAACCCTGCCCACAGAACAACAGGCTGGTTCCCTGCTCTTGCTGTCCCAGTAGCTTTCTGAAACTAAGCTATGTGCAAGGGTAAAGCACAGGGACTTGGAGGATTATCGGCTGGTCCTTGGTTTCTGTCTGAAATACAATTCCTTCCTTCAGCTCTCTTGAAATTTGAGAAACGTGCTCTTCCTGACACAGTTAATGGTTTTGTTGGTGCTGGTCTTTGCACTTTGCATTAGTTCTACTCTTTGTGCCTGATTTCTGTGATGTTTGAATTGCGTGTTATTGTAGCAGGGTCACCCAGACAGCCAGTTTCAAGGCTAGGTTCATGAAAAGTTTTGGCCAGATAGAAAGTTTACAAATGAGTTTAAACATAGTTCCCAGATGTGGAGAGTGCAGGGTGGGTAAGTCAGGGTGCCAGATGCAAAGCACAAGGCATTTCAGCACCTGTAAGTGCCCAAGCCAGCAGCTGTGGGAACCTCTGGGTGTCCTGGGGCTTGTCCTGCCCAGAGCACTGCAGGCTGCAGCCTCACCATGCTCTGCTCTCTCTCCAAGCCAGTCTCAGTGGTGTGAAGCTGCTGAGAAATAAATGCAGAGCTTGTACCTCTGCCCACAGATGTCTTAGAACCAATTTGAGTTTAATGATGCCAGTAGAGCAGCTCTAATGTTTCACTGTGGGCTCTTATTAAAAGAAGTCCTTGTTGTACCTAAAGTGGGAAGTTCCTTGGAAGCTGTGGTTTTGTGGTTTCCACTAGGGAGGCACCTCCACATGTCTCCCACTTTCCCTGACAGGATGTCCTGCAGAAATGTTTTCATTAGGGCCATCTCTGGAGCTAATGCCTATTCATTTAGTAACTTTATGTGGATTCATTAAACTATTTATTTAGCTTCATTTATTATCCAGCTAAAATTTCATTTGCATTTGCTGTACTGACACCAGCCTTCACAGGTTAGAGCTAACACGTGAGCTTGCATTGGCTGTAGGTGAAGAAATGCAGCTCAGCTTCATGAGACCTGACCAGGTACTTCCAGGAGATTCCTCCTCTTCCCAGAGGTCTCTTTGTGAGGAGGAAGAGTTGAAGCTATCAGTACATATGAAGTCCTTCAAAAATCACAGATCACAAGAAAACCACAATGCTCATGTGATCTGAAAGTTGGTGCTGGCTCATGGGCCTGAGGCTCCAGAGCTCGGGGGCCTGTCCTGTGCCAAAGGAGTGAGACCTGGATGATGCCAGCGATGGCGGGTGAGGAGCCCGCGGCTGTGGCACGGCCTTGCTGGAGGTGTGAGGAGTGACCTGCTTGGCCACAGCCTCCCCGGCCACCTGGTGCTTGGAGAAAGCTCCAGCTCCATAGTCCCTGCTTCAGTTGCCATGGTTTTCTTTAAGTAGCATGGAGAGAGGAGAGGTGTTAGGGGATTGTGTGTGTGGTTTTGTGGTTTGTTGTGTTTTATATGGCAGAGCAGCATGAGAGGAGAGAAAATTCGTCTAGAAACTACTGACTGGTTCACTGCCTGAATGCTTTGTGCTCGCCTGCTTAGTATGGATGGCTGTGCCGGGCCCAGGCGTGCCATAGTAACTGCTCTGGCCTTGTAATTCAATGCATCTCACTTGCTCAGGTTTGGCACAGCGCTCATCCCAGGCTGCACTGGTGTGGCACTCGAGATCAGGCTATTTATAACTGCCCGGCCCGGGCGGCATCCCCCGAGTGAGCCCGGCTGTGCTGGGGACCGGAGAGCGGAGCCGCAGCTGGGGACAGGGCCGGGGGCAGCCTGCGTGAAGGTGCCCAGGCAGCACCTTGGGGAAACTGCTGCAAGCCCAGCATCCGGTTCTGGTGAGCACACGGGGCGTGGGATCCAGCAGCTGCTCCTGTGTCCTGCCACGCTGGGGCCACGCAGGCATTCCCTTTGGAGAAAGCGCCCGACTGCGAGAAGGCAGCGCAGGGCACGGGCTGCGCGTGGGGACTTCGGTGTATGTGTGGAACACAGCTGACTGTTCTGACCCGGTGCTGCACGAGCCAGGCATGGGAAACAGCCTTTTTGCAAACTGCTGCAGGCAAGTCACCGATCTCCTCTTCCAGCCACGCAGCTCTGGCTCACCCGATGAGAGGTCGCCTCTCTTGCCAAAGTCTCCCACAAGCTGCAGTGTCGTCCCGGAGATGCCAGAAGCTGCTCAATGTGCTGGGCTGTATCCAGACATCATCCCCAGTGAGGCGGTGACTGGAAGCCTGCAGAAGGGCACTGAATACGTCCAAGACCTCTCTGAGACCAAGGACAAAGAAGGAATGATGACAGTTTGTGATAAGAGCGGTTCGAGACCTGGCGTTGGCACGGTTGGCCTGCTCCAGCGGACAGAGGCATCCCATGCAGCGACTGTCCTTCCAGCCGACCTTGGGGACAGGCCGGCAGGGCTGGTTGATCATGCTCAGTCACTTGAGGCCTGCCAGAGCTGTGTGAAACTTGAGGACAGCGGCTTAGCCCACAGATCCTGCCGCCGGGAGGAGCACGTGGCAGCAGCTGACGGCAGAGCGGGCCCTGGAGCGCATTCCGCTGGCCAGGGGCGAGCGGCCGAGGGGCGAGCGGCCGGGCGCCTGCACACAGCCTGGGTGCCTCCGGACAGCGCGCTCGAGTGCAGAGCTCCTGCTCCCTCCCCAAGGAGCCCTGGGACACCCTCCTCTGCCCTGCCAGACAGTGCAGGCAAAGCCCTGCCAGCTCAAAGTGCAGTTGTGCTGCCTGTTCCCCCTGGTGAGGTGTCACCTAAGGCTCAGAACACAAGTGCTGCTTTTGTGACAGAGCCTACTGCCTGCCCCAGCAGAAGCTCAAGCTCCGATGCTGATTCCCAGGCCCCGGTTCTGCCCTCAAAGCAGCAGCAGCAGAAGAAGAAGAGGAAGAAAAAGAAGCTTCCTCTCCCAGGTGCTCTGTCCTGCTGCATGGAGCCCCCACACTGTGTGCTCCTCATAGGGATGGGTGGCTGTGTGTGCCTGTGGGATGGGGCAGCACAAAGGAGAGGGAAGGGATGCAGAGGTGATGTTTTAACTTCACAGGTGAAGGAGAAAGGTGACAAGGTATCCCACCTGGGTGTGTACCACAAAGGGACCTGTCTGTGCCTTGTTCATGTCAGCAAAGCAAACTTAAGGGCGTTTTGCTTGTCTTTTTCTCAATTCATAAGCTAAATCCCTCTATTGTTTGTGACTGCAAACGTGGTCCTTGTAAAGGATGGGAGTGGATCTCCACAGCCCGGCCTGCAGCAGCTTGGTTGGAAGTGTGCAGCTGTGAGGGACCAGCACAGGGAGCCTTGGGCTTCCTTCGGCTGTGTGCAGGTTGAGGACAGGCCTGAGCTGCAGGGGTGGAGCAGCTCCATCAACTGTGCTGAGGATGGGATGTTCCTTCTCTCCCTTCACCCAGTGCATTATTGCAGTCCAGTGGGAACAGTGGCCCCAGCCAGTTGGCCCCTCAAAATGGCACTAGAGCTGATAATAGGAAATGCATTCCAAAGGTTGGTGCTGGTAAAGTAGGGGATTTAATTTTTAGTTTTGTCCCTCTTAAGAATTTCTCCAGTTACTAAATGTAGGGAAGGAAACTCCCCACTGACAGAGCAGTCCCTGCAGACCAGGCTAACTCCCAGCAACAGAGTGTCGCTGACTTTTGGATCCGATAATCTTTGAAAAGGATTTGTGTCTGACTTTGGTTTAGAAGATTTGTTTGAACATAAATCAGTTATTAACTAACCCTTCCCAGGATCCGTGCTATGTGCAGCCAGCAGGGTTCAGGTGTGCGCACTCCCTCACGCCAGGATCTTTGCAGGGGTTTGCCAGGTGCCGCTGCCACAGCCTGGCTGTAAATAGGAAGCGTGATTAAAGTAGGCCCTGTCACCTTGGCGTGTGAACTCCTTGTCCAGGCAGAGATGAAACCTAATCCTGCATCTGATCCTTTGTGCCAGGTGTGAGTGCAGATGGGTGGGTGCGGGTTGGTGCGGCGGTGCCCGGCCACGCTCTGCTCTGTGTGCAGGGATTGCTGTGCTGTGCTTGGTGCCCAGCCATGCTCTGCTCTGCTCTGTGTGCAGGGATTGCTGTGCTGTGCTTGGTGCCTGGCCATGCTCTGCTCTGCTCTGCTCTGTGTGCAGGGATTGCTGTGCTGTGCTCAGTGCCCGGCCATGCTCTGCTCTGTGTGCAGGGATTGCTGTGCTGTGCTTGGGGCAGCAGTGAGAACATTGTGTTCGTCGTGTTCTCACCGTGAGAACAGCACAGGCCAGAGCTCGGCAGCCTCCACCACACCTCGGGTACAAGCTGCAGCTCGAGTGCAGGAGGAGGGTCCTTGCTGGGACGCTGGCACATCCCTTGGAATGACAGGGGAGACCAGAGGTCACAGCCTTCGGTCGAGACCACAAACCCACGTGTCGAGGCCGACGTGACCCGGCAGGGAGCTCCATCTGCAGCAGGAGCAGGGTGGTGAGCGGGAGGAGCGCCGGGTTTGCCCCCGGAGCGGGTGGAACCGCTTCCCTGTGACTCAGACACCTTCCGTGATCCATCTGGGGTGCAGCGAGAGCCCGCAGCCAGACACAGCTGCCTGCCTGCTTGGGACTTGAAGTGGCAGCAAGGAATGGGAGAGAGATCTCTGCAGGTGTCCCTAAGGTGTTCCTGTGCCTCCTCCTGCTGTCTCAAGTAGGCTGAAATCCTGTGAAATCCATGAGTGCCCCATGATGTACCTCCCTCTGCGCCGGCGCAGTCGGTGCAGAGGAACCAGTGACCCACTTTAGGGTAGCTGGGTGCAGCTCTGCTTCCCTCGGGGAGCACATCAGGTGAGTCAGCACCCAGCAGGCAGCACGGCCTCCAGGCCAGCTCGTGCTTCCTTGAAACATACCCACTCAGTGCAGAACCCCTCTGGAAAGCCTTGCCTGGCTCACATCCAAGGGTTAACCTGCTGCATGGCAGATCTTTCTCAGTCCAGACTTAACTTTTGTTTCTAAACTTAAGACTGTGCTGGCTGGAGCTTGATCCTCTAGCATAAGGAGACATGAAGGTGTTGCCTCTACATGTCTCTTGTCACAAAGTGCAGAGTTGTGCCAGCCCTGCCTTCACTCAAGGAAAAGAGAGATGGAAGGTGTGAACATGTTGTATTTCTGCAGACTAGGAGCAGTATTCTGATTTCTGAAACACTAAGTAGTTTGGGGATCTTACACCACTGAGCAGTGAAAAGCAGAAGTGTGGTCCTGGCTGGTGGCTTTCCCTTGCTGTGTTTGGATTTTCCTGTTTCACTTGGCTTTGCTGCTGAAGGTGTTTGCTGTTCTCCAGACTGGCGTGTGCATGGGTTGCAGTGCCAGCCTTCCTTTCAGCCAAGTTCTGTCTCCTTTCTGGCTAGCACAGCAGGAACAGAAGTTGAGTGATCCTGCCCTGCTTGGGTGGGCAGGGGCTGGGCCAAGCCTGGCTTGGGCACCTGGCAGGTCATCCTGTCTGCAGTACCAGTAGCCCCAGGTGTAGCATTTCCCTGGTGGCTTGTCTGCACTCCCTCCAGATCCCCTCCAGGCAGCCCAGGACTATGGCTGTGCTGGCTGCAGGGTGTGACGAGGGGCTCTCCCCAGCCCTTTAGGCATGGTGTGGTTTTCCTGAAACCACATCTCTTGAGGCACTCTTGCATGGAGTGTTTCTTCCTCCTTTCTAGCATGACAGCAGCTTGCTGGAGCCAGAGCCCGGCCTCTCGTCTCACTTGCCCATGGCTTCATCTGTCAAAGAAATGAGCAGTGAGTGCTGGGGACATATGCACAGTGACAGGGACCATGAGCAGCAGCTGCTGAGCTGCTGCCTGAGGTTGCTCTGCTACCTGCTGCCTTTGGAATGGGTGTGCTCTCATTGCGTTTTTCCCTTTCACCATGTCCCAAGTCAGCCCTGACAGTCATCTCTGAGGATTTGCTGTTGGCAGTCGTTGTCTGGGGCAGGGACATGACTCTCCATGGGTGCTTTTGCGGGGCTTGTTGCTGCAGCCTCATGTTGTGCTCCAGAGGTGTGCAGGGGGGTATGGTGTTGCCATCCCTTTCTCGGGTATTGTGAAGCCTGGATGACTTCTCTGGGCTGCAGGAGCAGCTGGGGCTGATGGAGAAGAACTGGCTGTGACAGCTGTAGGTCCTCAAGCCACAGCACCAGCCTATGAGGTGAGGGAGGCTGAGTGGGGACCGGTGCCTTGCAGGAGGTGAGGATGAGGAGCGACACCTGCCAGATGGAGCTGGCTGCAGGGCTGCAGCCTCGAGGCGTTAGCCTGGCTTGCAGCTGTCCTGGCCCTGTGCAGCCTTTGGAAAGGCTGTTTCTGCTGCCTGGGAAAGCACCCCACCTGCTCCATCTGTGCTGCCTGCAAGTGGGTGCCTGAGAGCACCAAGCTGGCACTGCTGCGTGTGACCTTGGGGTGCAGCTGAGTGTGCTGGGCCAGCCCTGCTGGGAGCACAGCCTGAGGGGCACGGTGCCAGCTGTTCTCCAGCACCCACTGCCCCGGGTGTGCGGGGTGGGGTGGTGCCCTTGGGGCACGGGCCTGGCACGCTGTGGGGGAAAGGGGTACTCTGCCATCTCCCAGAGTTGCTATCAGCAGCTCTTTCCACTCTTCCAACTTCTCTTGGCAGCCCCTTGGTCCTCTTTAGTGTGGTCCCCAGCCTGGTTCAGAGGATGCAGGCTCCTCTAGGAGACTGGCAGCTTCTTAGATCTAATCAGGTCTCTGATGCTATCCAGCTTATTGAAAAAGGAAACAAAGCATTGCAGAGCTGTGAGGTGGGTGCAGAGAGCTCCCCAGCCCTGTGACGCATCTGTCTAAACGAGCACTTAAAATGTCGTCACCATTTTCTTGAATAAAAGTGCTTAGGCAAGGCCTCACCCTGGCACCACGGGATCTCTGTGAAGTATTTTGGAAATGCAGAGGGTGGCCAAAGGTGGGCAGGGCCATGGGAGCTGTTGTGTGCCTGTGGAGTAACCGGGCTGCCACGTGAGCGCAGCGGTGCCGCGCAGCCGCAGGCCTCCCTCTCCCTCTGCTCTCTAACGTGTTGGTGCAGAGGTTACAGCTGCCTCCAGGCCGCAAAGCACCACACACCCTTTTTTTTTTTTTAATTAAGAGGCTTAAGACAGCTCAGTGTAGTGTACACTGACCCATCCTTCCTGCTCTCCTTCCCTCCCCTCTCTGCACATGGTTTGTGGAAGATGCAAACACCGCAGGCAAGTGAGAGCACCTTCATTATGCTGTGAGGAAAGGGAGGGAAGGGCCTGGCACACCTCTGTCTAGTAAACAGCAAGTGCAGAATAAAACCCTGCCTTTTAGCCCCTGATTAGCTCAGGCTTTGCAGTGTCCAGGCCAGTCTCTGCAGCCCATTGGAGAGGACCTTGTCTAAACCCCTCTGTCCTTGCCCAGAGCACCCGTCTGGCGTGGCACTGATGAATGGCAGCGGCCCGCATGACAGCCTCAAGGGCGACAAGGATGCCAAGCAGAATGGCCACGAGGAGGCCGAGCCCGGAGAAGATGGGAACGACCAGGAGGTCATCGTCATACAGGACACGGGATTCACTGTCAAGATCTGTGCACCAGGGATAGAGCCCTTTTCCCTGCAGGTACCTGCCCTCGCCAGCTGGGGAAGGGGACAGAGGTGGGGAGTATTTGAGCCAGATCCTTTCAGCCAGGCAGGCAGGGAAGGAGGCAGTGCCTGGAAGGCCCCTGTTCAGCCTCACAGTCTGCACAATACCTCCAGGCTGCTCCCTGACCTGTCTGTCTTCTGACCAGGGCTACGTGGGGAAGGAGGCAGCAAAGGATGGAGGGTGCAGGAGACTGCCTGGCCAGTGCCTTGAGAGAAATGAAGGAAGAAGGGACATGAGCAAGAGGCTGCCTGGCCCAGGCCTGCCTGGGCATTGCAGGGACAGGGAGGGTGTTTCATTCTGGATCCCAGGTGTGGAGCAAGGGGAAGGAGAACTCACTGTGGTGTAGCTCTTTGTCCATCACAGAGGGGCTTGGCTGTGGAGCTGAGCACAGGGAAAATGGCCTTCCCACTTCTGGGCTGTTCTAAAGCAGTGTTGTGAAAACATGATTTCTGGGCCTGAGTGAGGAAGGGAAAATCCCTTGCTTGCTCAGCAGTTATGACATGATGCTGCTTCAGGCCAGCCTGGGTTTGGTACAGTGACAGGTGCTAACACAGCTCAGGGAGCTCAAGCCTGAAGACCAAGGGAATGATGCAGTCTCCACTCCCTTCTGCATGGAGAGCTCTGCCTCATGTCATGTGGACAGTGACATGCTGCCAGGTCAGGATGAGCTCTCACAGGCCTAGTTCATAGTCCCATTTAGCTTGATACTTCACCAAAAACTATCTGAATGAAGTATCTCTTAATTCTGGGGAGAGGCATATGGAATCTAAACCCAGTGGGAAGTTCTTATCTGCCCCAGACTGGCAGAGAGTGCAGCAAAATCCCATCCCCTGTGGAAATAGCTGCGTCTCAGACTGGCTTTTTGTCTCCTTTAAATCCCCCTGGCTGTTAGTTTTAATGGGCTAATAATAGCAGACCTCGTTGTTTACAGCAGCTTATGTAAACTACCCCGAGTGCTCTGGGTTTTCAGCAGTGTCAGTGGTGCTGGAGCAGAGCAGGGAGTGGGGGAGCAGCCCTGGTGCTCAGGGTGGGTCTGGCCTCCCCTGAGCCCTGTGGAGGTGTGGCACTGGCACAGCTCACCACGCACGGGGAGGAGGAGCTGGGCTGTTTTCCATGGGCAGCATCCAAGGTCTCACCACTAATCTGGTGTGAATGGATAAGGGAAGAACCCCACTTCCCCCACCACCTGCTGTTCCTTCAGTGCCCTCTGTCACCTCTGTCCCGTGCCAAGTGCTTGGTGCAGTGCCTGGCTCTTACATCTCGGGGTGCCAACCCCGTGGGGTGGAACTCAGGTGGCTGACCCTGCCAGAGGTGACAGTGCCCTCCCAGCAGGAGCAGGAGAGACCTTCCTGGAAAGGGAGGTAGAGTCTGCCTTTCCAAGCCTGGAGGGGGAGGTCTGAGAGGTTTTTGATATTGCAGCTGAGGGGCAAAGTTTGGCAAGAGCATGTGGGAGAGTAAACAACAATTGTGTTCTTACCTTCTTAAGGTTTCTCCTCAAGAGATGGTGCAAGAAATCCATCAAGTTTTGATGGACAGGGAGGATACCTGCCATCGGACCTGCTTCTCCCTGCAGCTGGATGGCAACGTCCTGGATAACTTTGCTGAGCTGAAGACGATTGAAGGACTGCAGGAGGGCTCACTGCTGAAAGTGGTGGAAGGCAAGTTCCTTCAGACATGGGAGGGAATGAGTGAGGGTTTTCTTAGGGAGTGATTTTGGCCACCTGTCAGCTCTTTCCTCTGGTTCCATTTTGAGAGCTGTGTGCCAAAGGAGTAAGCAACTGTCTAATTCCAGTTTCTTTCCTCACTTTCTGGTCATCAGAGCCATACACAGTGCGAGAAGCCAGGATACACGTGCGCCACATTCGGGACCTTCTGAAGAGTCTTGACCCATCAGATGCTTTCAATGGTGTGGACTGTAACTCATTGTCCTTCCTGAGTGTCTTCACTGAAGGAGACCTGGGAGGTATGGGTCGAAAAGACTTCTCTGGTGTGGTCAGTGGTTTCATTCCCTGACTCCTTGCTCAGTTAAACACGCAGTAACAGTCGGCTGTCCTGTGTCATTTAGGAGTGCAGAGAATACTTGGAGTACTTCTGCATCCCTCTTTGAATGATGACTGGGGGAGGGACTGTTCACTTTTCAGAACTGACTTTATGTCTCTGTCTGTTCTAGACAGTGGAAAACGGAAGAAGAAAGGTACCGAAATGGAACAAATTGACTGCACCCCTCCTGAACATATCCTGCCAGGTAGCAAAGAGAGGCCCCTGTGTGCCCTTCAGCCCCAGAACAGAGACTGGAAGGTAGAGTTTTCCTGTGTCAAACAGCTACTGGTACATTCCTCACAGCAAAGTGGTGGTCAGGGATTGAAAGCTGAGCTGGAGTGGACTTTGGGATTTGCTCTGCTTGGTGCTTAACAAGCGCTGGGATAGCACTGCGTAGCCAAAAGAATAAAGTCCAGGAGCTGGTGTGCAAAACACTGGACATGGAGTCTGGACATCTGCAGAGTGTGGAAGGGCCAGGCTTGCTGGGATGGGTGGCAGAGAAGGGAAAGCAGCATTCCTCTGCAAAGTCCTGGAGACAGGATCTGCAGGTCACTACAGATTGCTCTTAGCTTTCCCATGCCCTCCCACTTGGATTCTGGTTTAGAAGCTGCCATTTGAAAACAAGTACAGCAGCCCAGAGGCCCAGGGTGTCTGCTTTCACCTGTGTCTCGTGGTGTGAAAGGCAAACTGGTGGACTGCAGAGGGCTCGGGAGGCTGTGCTCGGGAGACCAGGTGCGTTTGTAAGCTCTGTTTCTGGAATCGAGCAAGGGCAGCAGGTAAAAGGGATCTGGCATCTACATTGAGTGACTCTAACTCAAAGAAATGAATTCCTGCTGACAGGAGTTGCTTGTGTTGTGTTCTGCTGTAGCCTTTGCAGTGCCTAAAAGTATTGACGATGAGTGGCTGGAACCCTCCGCCCGGGAACCGCAAGATGCACGGGGACCTCATGTATCTGTACGTGATCACTGTGGAGGATCGGCACGTCAGCATCACGGCCTCCACACGGGGATTCTACTTGAATCAGTGAGTAACTGAGCTTCTTCCTGTCCTGCCCCGCAGCAGCCAACTGGAAAACAACTCATAAACAAACAGTTGCAGCCCTTTTTTTTTTTCCTGTGGCAGAAACAGCCTATTTTAATTCGCTGCTCACATGGGTTTGTGGGAGTTGCTATACTGGATTGGGCTGTTCAGTTATGCCTGGTACCACTTCTCCACAGTGGCTAAATGCCTGGTGCTTTAGGGAAAGTTCAAACATCCCATAATGTCATCAGCTATTTAGAGCATTTTCAGTTGGGAGGAAATTCCTTCCTGACTATTGCAACTATCTCATTTTGCCCTGAAGCAAAAGCACAGCCTGTCAGAACTCCCTGAGCTGGGTGCAGATTTGACTACAAATAATTTCTTTTTTTGTTTTTCTAATGGTAACTGTGAGAGCTGTTGTGGCTATGCCTGTTGGAGTGGCTGTGCTGAGGGATTTCTCTGTTAAGCAAAGGCACCTTTGGTGTGTTCCGGAAGTTCTGTGAAATCAGTCCTTCCCAGCTATAAAAATAGAAGCCTCTCTTGAGCCTGGGAATGGCTGAAAAAGGTCTAAATTTAAAAACCATCAGGGACAGGTAGAGGGTTACTGGCTGTGGGGAGACTGGACAAGGTCCTTGCTGCCCATCTGCCTCTTTGCCCCATGGTCTCTGTCCCACAGGCAAGGGCACATGGTGCAGCCTTTGGCAGTGTGCAGGTATGAAGAGCTCTCGGTCATGTTCCACGTTCCTAGAGTGTGGAAAGTTTCAGGTATGACAGTGGCTTTTGACTGTGTCTTTTTTTTTTTCTCTTGCAGGTCTACTGCATACAACTTCAATCCCAAACCTGCAAACCCTAGTTTTCTCAGTCATTCCTTGGTGGAACTACTTAACCAGATCAGCCCTACCTTCAAAAAAAACTTCTCTGCTCTGCAGAAGAAACGGTAGCAGTGCTTCTTCCTCTCTAGCTCCTTGAGCAGCCCAGTGTGAAGCTGGGGAGGCTCAGCTGGTTCTGGGGATGCCACCGGTGCAGCAGGGATTGCAGTACCTGCTTCTCTGAGCTCATGTAGTGGTGGGTGGTTGGGACACGTCAGGGGAAGCTGCAAGGACCAGAGCACCTGACTGAACAACAGGGCAGCACTCTGAGGATCTCCCTGATCCACAAAAGAGACTGAAGCATAAATATCAGTGAAAGTAACACAAGAGGGCTTTGTATAGGCTTACAGTGGCAGGAGGTTGGTTATTTTAAACATGTCTGTGCATGCTAATATTCTGTAATTTCCTCTAGCTCCTATAATAATAACACAACAATAAGGCATTGTTTGATTCTCCCGTCCTTGCTGCAGGGACCATTTGTTCTGCTCCAGGACAGTGGGTCCTGTGCAAAAGCCTGTCATTCTTCAGAGTCACTTAATGAACTGCCTCGGCTCAGCAGGGTGTGGATTGATAGGCACATTGTGTTTGGGAGCTCTGCTCCTGCTTCATTAAGGAGATGAAAGTGACACTAGATGAGGGCTGAAATTAGCAGTGGCCTCCAGCCACCACTGTGACCTATCTGGCCATTTAAAAATGGCTGTACTGTGTTGTCTCTTGGGCCAGAAGTAGCTACAGATGAGCCCCCAGCCCCTGCTGAGAGCAGCCAGATTACACGAGAGACCTTTGGCGGTGCTTGGGTTTCCACTGCGCGCCGCTGTTGCATCGTGACCTGTAGGGACCAGTGCGAAAGCACAGGGAAATTCTCTTGGAATAGAAAGGATTCTTCCTTTATAAATGTGTAATTGTTGTTTGTCCCAAACTAGGGTTCAGAGACACCCCTTTGAGAGGATAGCCACTCCTTTCCAAGTGTACAGCTGGACGGCCCCGCAGGCAGAGCATGCCATGGACTGTGTCCGGGCAGAGGACGCCTACACCTCCAGGCTGGGCTACGAGGAGCACATACCTGGACAGGTACTGGTCTTGCTTTGCCTGATGACACTGGCAAGACTTTGCTGCCAGCTGTGCCAGGAACAAGTTAACTTCCAAAAAGTAACCTCTGTTATTTGTTGGGGGGTTTTGATCATCAAAGGAAAACTTGCAGGAGTCCTTGTTCTTTACAGGGCCCTTGACTACAGGGGCTGTGCTGCTCAGGCTGCAGGTCCATGAGCACAGGAGTGACTGAGAGGAGCAGCTCCTGCTCGGGTGTTTATAAATTCCATGTCCCTTCTCTGAAGAGTGCCACTGCACAGGAGGCAGACCACTCCTCATGCCATTCAGGCCTGGAATGGCTCTTGTATCTCTGAGCAGACTGCTCCAAATGCTTCAGCTGCAGCTTTCTAGCACGAAGTGCTGCAGGGCAGCAATGGCCAGCTGTGGGCAGCACATGCCTGCAGTGTGCCCACAGCACTGGCTAATGACACCTGCACTGTGCTGCCCCTTCAGTGCCCCTGCACTGGCTGGGCTGATGCAAGATCTGTCCCAAACTGCTGTTGAATAAAGTCCCCTCTCGAGCTGTGTTCATTCCTGCTGCTAAGTCACTTCCTCTGAGCCCCACAGCAGCCTGAATTCTTACCCCTTCCTTCTCTCCCAAAATGCCTTGTGAAGCAGGAATGCTGCCTTGCCAGCCCCTTCCCACACAATGCATTGCATCCCACAAGGCTTTCCCTCCCTCTTTCAGACCAGAGACTGGAATGAGGAGCTGCAGACCACACGGGAGCTGCCACGCAAGAACCTGCCTGAGAGGCTGCTGAGAGAACGAGCCATTTTCAAGGTAATTTTGGGATATGCAGGCAGCTCCTCACACAGCCCCTTCTTTGCTGCCTGTGTTCTGGCTCCTGGGACTTGTATTGAAGCCATTAGCCTGGCTCACAGCAGTAAAAGCCAGTGACCTGCCTGCCTGCTGGGAGGAGAGGAGCAAAGGAAAAATTTGCAGGGAGCTTTCAGAGCATGGGGGCCCATCCTGACCCTGCTTTCTCTCCATGTGCCTCCAGGTTCACAGTGACTTCACTGCAGCAGCAACGCGAGGTGCTATGGCTGTCATTGATGGCAATGTCATGGCCATCAACCCCAGCGAGGAGACCAAGATGCAGATGTTCATCTGGAACAACATTTTCTTCAGCCTGGGCTTTGACGTCCGTGACCACTACAAGGACTTTGGTGGAGACGTTGCTGCTTACGTGGCTCCCACCAATGATCTCAATGGTGTGCGGACCTACAACGCTGTGGATGTGGAAGGGCTGTACACGCTGGGGACTGTCGTGGTGGATTACAGAGGTTACAGGGTGACAGCTCAGTCTATTATCCCTGGCATCTTGGAGCGGGAGCAGGAACAGAGTGTCATCTATGGGTCAATAGACTTTGGCAAGACAGTTGTGTCACACCCCAAGTACCTGGAGCTGCTGGAGAAGACCAGCAGGCCACTGAAGATCCAGAAGCACAAAGTTCTCAACGACAAGAATGAGGAGGTGGAGCTGTGCTCCTCAGTAGAGTGCAAAGGCATTATTGGCAACGATGGGCGTCACTACATCCTGGACCTGCTACGCACTTTCCCTCCAGATCTAAATTTCCTGCCTGTTGAAGGGGAGGAGATGCCAGAGGAATGTAAGAAAATGGGGTTCCCCAAGCAGCACAGACACAAGCTTTGCTGTCTTCGTCAAGAGCTTGTTGATGCCTTTGTAGAACACAGGTGAGCAGAACTTCTCCCTTCCTCCATGTGCATCTGGTCATGGTTCAAGTCAGGACCTTGCTGCACTGTCCTGGGAACATCCCAACAGAGCTCCCAGAAGTGAGCAGCTAATTGCCCTATTGCTTGGCTATGTAAATGCAGTTAGAGGAACTTAATTAACAAGAGGTGAGAACAGTAGGGATTTCAACAGGGAGCCAGGGAAAGAGATGGTTTGTGTTTTAGTGTCCAGATCTATTATTGTTGATTCCTGTCCAAATATCTGGAAGTTCTTTCCCTGCAGGCATCCTTTCCACTTGATGGCCAGGGAATGGGAAGGATTTATGCTGCTTTTTAAGGCTTTCCCAATGTCCCGAAAGTTATGTTTGTTTCTAGAGGCTGGAAAAAATCCTGTGGGCACTGCTGTAGGCGTGTTTGTGGTGGGATGTTTGGGTCACTTGGTGCTGGCAAGGCAGGGGAGCTCAGGGGGTGGGACATGTTCCAGACGTGTGGCGCTCTGGGATTCTGCTGTACTGAACTGCTCTTCCCCTTTGCTGCAGGTATCTCTTATTCATGAAGCTGGCTGCACTGCAGCTGATGCAGCAGAAAGCCAACAAGCAGGAGAGCTCAGCTGCGCTGGAAAATGGAGCCTCTGCAGAGAATGGCGCGGCAGACAGCGAGAGGCCTGAGTCAGAGGACGGGAAGATGGAGGACAGCGTGAGTGGGCTGGATCAGGTGAAGGAGCTCGCGGAGACCATCGCGTCCGACGATGGAACAGGTACTTCACCCATCCTTCATCCTGGTGGGAGCTGCGCCAGGCTGGGCTGGTTGGGGTGACTGATGGTGGTTAAACAGGACAAGCACTGGCTGCCTGTCCGTGTTGCCTGGCCTCTTTGTTAGAGCTGCTCACACCCTGATGAATGACTCGCCCTGCAGACAGGGGGACTGAGGTGTCTGAACCCAGCAAGGCCCCAGCCCCTCAACTCTTCCCTGGGAGCGAGAGCCTGGCCAGGCTGGCCTGTGGAGTGCAGGGGAGGGCTGGGGCCAGGCAGGAGGCCAGCAGTGCATGGGCACCTTTGGGAACCCCAGGCTTGCATTTCTGAGTGCATTTGCTTGGAGGTGGGGATATCCATGGGGTTTTTGGGTCATCTTATGTTCCCTTATTCAGACTTTGGAGCCATTCTCCTTTACAATTGATTGTTTTTATAATGGATTTCTTTAGAATGTGCCATCATTGCTGTTTTTAGTAACAAAACTTAATTTAATAGCTAGGCATGTCATTTCCTGAGCTCCACATTCATTTGTATTCTGTTTTTTTCCTGCTCCAGTGGATCCCAAAAGCAGAGAAGTGATTCGGAATGCTTGCAAGGCTGTAGGCTCCATTAGTGACACATCATTTGATATTCGGTTTAACCCAGATATTTTCTCACCAGGTATGTGTACCCAGAGCTGGGACCAGCCCCTCCGAGGGTGGCTGTGTCCAGCCAGCTGCAGATCAACACTGTGCTGAGGCCAAGACTGTTGCTGGTTTTGTTAGGCTGGTGCAGGGCCCTCTGTGAAGCACGGAGATGCAGAAGAGAGGAAGCAGCAATGGATTGCAGTGCTGGAGCTGCCAAGGGCAGCCAAGGGGAGCCTCTCCCACCCTGGGGGAGGGCTGTGGGGTGCTGCCAAGAATCCTCCTGTGATTCTCCAGCATCCCAGCTCTGAGACCATGTGAAAAGAAGATGAGGGAGGGAAAAGATCAAATTTGATCCTCATGTAGTAGTTTTCACAAAAAATAACACTTGTAGTTGAACGACTGATGTTAGGACCTCAGTGAAGGGCTGGGTTTGTTGTAGTAACATTTCAGTGAGCAGTCACAGTGCCCTTTTACATGCACACATCAGGCACAGGCATGAATTTCCATTACTTGGAGCCATATTTTTTATTGGGAAATTGAGAAGCTCCCAGAGTGCTTCTTGGGGTGAATACTGGGGCAGTGTGCAGGCACATTGCAGGAGAATGGCCAAACCATTGAGTTTGAGCAATTCCAGCCTCTGCCTGAATACAGCAACCAATGCTCTTCCCATCAAAACATTTATAGTTTGAGATAAGTTTTTGAAGCATCCAGCATTCCAGGGAGACAGTTGGGTTTCTGTGAGTTGCTGTGGTTGATGTTCTTTCTCTTGTCCTCTCCCAGGTGTTCGCTTCCCGGAGTCGAGCAGAGAGGAGGTGCAGGATCAGAAGCAGCTGCTGAAGGATGCTGCTGCGTTCCTGCTGTCCTGCCAGATCCCAGGCTTGGTAAGGAGCCCAGAGCCAGTAGTGATGCTGCCCTCAGAGCCTGGCTGCTCTGAGCAAGCTGGTGACCACTGGGACAGCAGCTTTACCTGAGCAGCTGCAGGCTCTGGCACTGCTGGGGGACCGCAGGGTGAACAGCATGAGCATTGCGTGCAAGGCACGAGGGGTTTTCCTTTACCCATCTTACATCATGGCACAATTTTCTCACCTCAATCCAACAAAAAAATTTTGGCACTGGTAATTAAAGCTATTGCTAAGAGTTTGGAACAATAGAGAGCACATAAGCCATCCTCCCTAGCCCTGGGCATCCTTCAGCTTATTGTTTTAGCTGACCCTGGCTGTGACTCAGTCAGTGACTAATAATTTGAAGTGAACTGGGAAATTGTTTTAATTAATAGCAGTCATTAAAAACTCCTTCTGTAAGTCTTAAGCATTTTGGACATTACCCATGAACCTGGCCACGTAAGAAATCCCAGTTTCTTCCTTCCTGGGATGCTTGCTGAATTGATGGCTTATGCAGCTGTCAGAGCAGGCACTGGAACTGGCAGGGGAGAATTCATGAGCTCTACTCCGAGACGTCCAGGAGTTGTTGGTCTTGTGTTACAAGAGGGTTTTCCTTATTGGAAAGTTTCTTCTGAACTCTAAATCCACTAATTCTGTAGTCAGCACAGCCTTCAGAACCAGCTATTCAGTCTTTAAACAAAAAGGAGGTAAGTGAGTCAGAAAAGGGCTTGGTGATTGTTGATTACAAGGTAGTTGATACTCCAGTATATAAACCCAAAACACTGCACAGGCCTGTGTGAGAGCAGGTTGCAGACCAGCTGCTATAGCAGGTAGTCCTGTGCATATCAGAGAGGAGCTGGTGTTGCTCCATGACGTGAATTAAACAACTGTTTATCAGCACTGCAGCACAACTTAACATGCAAGTGACATTTGTCCTTATCAGCTACGTGTGCACAGCTCCACGTACTCTTTTAATTGGAAATGGCAGTTAGTGACTGTGAGGCCCTTAAAGAAGGGTCAGCCTGCTAGTTGCACAGGTAGGAGTTGTTTTGCCTCTGCCTCTGAGAGAGTGTAGTGCTGCTCCTTCCCTGCTGAGACAGAGGAGTGAAACTGGCCCCAGTGGCAAGGACCTGGCCCAGACTGGGCTGGCTACTGCAGGTGTCCCCCCTGCCTGTGTTACCACGGTGGTCCCTGGTGTTACAGCAGGTGTTACTCACCAAAAGAGTCTTGTTTGGGGTCAGGGCCTCCTTTCAGGGCAACCCTCAGCCCCAGGTAAGGAGGTGTCTGAAGTGGCATTGGGGAATGCCTGTCCTGCCTCCTGGTGGGGGGTTTTTTAAATATTTTTTTAAATGAAAGTTCTTTCCTTTGTGTTTGTGTTCAGTAACCAAAGTCTGTCCGTACCCTGCAGGTGAAGGACTGCCTGGATCACACGGTGCTCCCCATGGATGGGGCGACCTTGGCTGAGGCCATGCACCAGAGGGGCATCAACATGCGTTACCTGGGCAAGGTGATCAACTTCATCACCAAGACCCCCGGCCATGCACAGCTGGATCACATCTTTGTAAGCATCAGGCTTAACATCAGACAGTTCAAACCACTCTGGCATCATTTGTCCCAAGGAGATTCCCACTTGGCCAGTTGTACTCTCTGTGTAAAAATATACAGCTTCAAGAACAGGGGAGGAGGGAGGAGGACCTGTAAGTGGTGGCTGGGGAGGTTTTTTTTTCCAAATCCTTAATGGATTTCATAGTGTTAGGAACTGTAAGTATCTTTTGGGGTAGAGAATTGCTTCAGGGATTCCCAAATGTAATAGTAAGTAACACAGTTGGATTTTCAGCCATGTATTTTTTAAGCCTCTAAGACACATCTGGGCTTTGGATCAAACTTTGAAGTGTTGTGTGGCTGCCCAGGAGCAGGCAGGGGCTGGGCTGTGGCAGCCCCTGAAGCACTGCTGGAGCTGTGCTGAGCTGCACCTGTGGCTTGTGGGCACAGAGGTGCCAGGGGCTCCTCACTGGCTCCAGGAGGGCTGTCAAATGCTTTTGCAGTTCTGTTTGAATAGAGAATAGATACACTATGCTCCCTTGCTGCAGGGAGAATAGTGTATCTTCTGCAGATCTTGCTAAAAGACCATTTCAAAAGCCCAGTGTATTTTTCCATATTCTTGCCAATGTACTCAGTCTGTTCTTTATTCCTTTGGGTAGAAAATTGGAATCAGTGAATTGATCACTCGATCAGCCAAACACATCTTCAAGACGTACCTCCAGGTATGACCTGCAATCTGACCTCTTGCCTCGTGTGTCCTCCCTAATGACTTTTTTCCACAAACAGAGCTGTTTGGGGTTCTCCTCTCATTAGGCAGTTCCTGGGGTTGCATGGCAACGAGAAGTACAAGCTCATTAGCACTGAAATAGGTACAGGCTCATATGCAAGGGAAAACAAGTTCCCACTTGAAGAAAGCTTTCCCGGAGAGCAATCATTCATGCTTTTCCTCCCCAGATCCTCACTCATTATGTTGGAGGCTTTTAAAAGTGAAATCACAGCTTGTTTTCCTTGTAGTACTTTTTCCTCTTAAACAGTGTTGCTTTTGCCCTTCTTAGAAGCCTTTTTAATTGACTCAACACTACATATCCTGGTAGGCTGTATTCACACACAGCCTAGCAATACGCCTGGCTTGGTTCCAGTGCCAAAACCTTCTTTGCACTCTCTGCTCTCTCTATCCCAGGTAGCAACCCGAAGCGTACATGCCTGCACTGCATTCCTGTGTGTAGGCACACACTTAATCCTACGTTGTCTGTGCTAGTGCCACTTGGACATGCTGCCTTCCTGTCCCTGTCGTGGAAGGTGGCCCTGTTTGTGTAGGACTGGGTGTGTGTGAGGCTCAGGGCTGGAGCAGTGCTGTGGGATGGCGGGTGTCTCTCCTGACTGACTCTGGTGTTTCCCGGTAGGGTGTGGAGCTGTCAGGTTTATCTGCTGCCATCAGTCACTTCCTAAATTGTTTTCTGAGCTCCTTCCCAAATCCCATTGCCCATCTGCCAGCTGATGAGCTGGTCTCCAAGAAGAGGAATAAGAAACGGAAAAACAGGAACCTTGGCAATGCTGATAACACTGCTTGGGCAAGCATGACCCCTCAGGAGCTATGGAAGAATATTTGTTCAGAAGCAAAGAACTATTTTGATTTCAATCTTGAATGGTAAGTGGAGCAGGTGACCCTGGCTTGTCCCTGGATTCACCAAACTTCTGTAGCTCTTCTTCATTAACAGGACCTCCCTTTTTTATTTGTTTTCTGTTTGCATAAAATTTGTACCCTTGAGGGACTTAAACAGATCTTTAATGGAAAGAGATTGGGCAAAGAGTAGGAATGGGGAAGTGAGACTTTGAATCAGATGAAACCTATGATGCAAAGGCAGCCATGAAAAGCAGAGGAGGAAGGTAAACCTTTCCTAAGGGTACAGAAGGGATCAGAAGGTGAGAAGCAGAAGTAATATAGTCAGAAGATACTTGTCTATATCAACAGTGATTTAGGCTGAAGGGAGCTTCAGCTCCAGAAAAAAGGACAACTGCTCCTGTACATGAGCAGAGATGGGGAATAAGGAAGGGGCACATTGGTGCTTCCAGTATAGCACTCTCGATGAAGTGGCCCAAGAGAAAAACCAGCTTTTGGCAGTTGGAGAATGATCATCCCCTCGTGACAGGGACTGCTTGCTCCTCACCAAGAGCTGAAGGTACTCAGCCCAAACACTGCAGTGGGCTTTGAGAACACACAGGATTTCTGTAAAAGCACTGCTGTGCTCTGGAGGCTTTCACAGACTGTGGGCAAACTCTGCAGTGTTCGTCCTTGGTTTGGGTTAGACCTGGCTGTACAGGGACCTGTGCCTCACATACCCACAATGGAGCAATGGCCTTGAGCAGAAACTCCCCTGAGAGCTGAAGCTTGTGTGTACTTTCTGCAGTGAGAATGCTGACCAAGCAGCTGAAGTGTATAATCTACAGAAAATCACCCTGCTCCGTGAAATCTCCCTCAAAACTGGAGTCCAGGTAAGATCCACATCCTCCCTCCCTTGCCATCATGTCCTGTATGGAGGAACATGAAGAGTTAATGCAATGTGTTTTGCAGGCACAGCAGAGCCCCAGAGGGTCTTTTTGGTGTACATGTTGGAATACAGGTCCCAGCTCTGAGAAACAGATTTCTGATCCAGTTCACTCTTAGAGTAATAAACTTGCTAGCATGTCCCTTGGAAGAACAGCTAGCCTCAGTACAATTGCACTCCCTTCTCACTCCTCTGTGGGCTGTGGGACAACAGCTGGAGGAGCTTTCCTGTCACGGGCTCAGTGTTGTCACCATGGTGCCATTTTGCCATGTACAGGTGGTGGTGCACACCTACATCTGATCTTGGAGACTTCTGTCCCAGGTCATGGTATAGGAGATGTTTTGATTGTGATTCCACATTCAGAATTTTGCCCCTTTTCTTGCCAAGTGCCTATGGAAGTGGTAACTGTGCCCTCCACTCTTTTTGGTCCCTCCAGATCCTGCTGAAGGAGTACAACTTCGACAACAGGCACAAGCCCACTTTCACAGAAGAGGATATTCTTAACATCTTCCCTGTAGTGAAGCATGTAAACCCCAAAGCCTCCGATGCTTTCCACTTCTTCCAGAGCGGGCAAGCAAAAGTTCAGCAAGGTACAGACCCCATGTGCCTCTGCCTCTCATGATGATCCCTGATAATGGGAAGAGCAGGGTATTTGGGGCATGGCCACCAGGGCACTGCTGCCAACCCTGGTGTCCAAGATCTACTCTGGCTATAAAGCCACCAGCAATGAGCAAGGATGGCTCAGGGCAGTGATGTCCTGTGCCCAGGGCAGTGACCTGTGTCTGTGTATCCCACTGTTGGTCTCACTTCCTGTCTCCAGCAGTGTGAGAGGTTCTTTTATATGTATATACATATGGAGATAACTTTCTTTTCAGGTTTCTTGAAGGAGGGCTGTGAGCTCATCAATGAAGCCTTAAACCTGTTCAACAATGTGTATGGTGCTATGCATGTAGAAATCTGTGCCTGCCTGAGGCTGCTAGCTCGGCTCAACTATATCATGGGAGATTACTCAGAGGTAAGCAGGGGCTCTGAGGGGATCTCCTCAGTGCTCTCAGTCCTTCCCCATGCTTGCTCAAGCTCACGGCGTGGTGTGACTTGCCCTGGGTTCTGTTCTGTTCAGGCCTTAAGCAATCAGCAGAAAGCGGTGCTAATGAGCGAGAGGGTCCTGGGCATCGAACACCCCAACACCATCCAAGAATATGTGAGTATGGGGAGCTGGGGGAGCAGCAGCACCCCAGGGGTCTGGCTGCAGTCTGAGAGCCTTAGTTCATGTCTGCACCTGGAAAAGTTGCATTTTCCTCTCTTCTGCAGCTTTCTTTCCAGAATTCTCCATTTCATCATCTTTTATGATCCTGCAAAGTGAAAAGCTGAGTGTGTCCTGTGTGCTCACCGTTTGTCCTGCTTAACCTAGGTTTCTAGTGTTTATCTGCTGCATATTTATTTAGATATATTAATTCTCCTCGCTTCGGCCCTGGGCTTATGTTAGAAATTAAAAGAGGAAAGAATCCCCTCCAAAACAGAGTCAGAATATGACATACATATGTAAGTCAGGTTGGAAATATTCTGTGAGGGGTGTTAAGAGAAACTGAAATAAAACACACAGCTTCCTCAGTGCTGTGTCCTCAGGAACACCTCAGTGGTACTGTGCATCATTTCAAAGGGATGTCCTTTGGAAGTCCTTCTTCAACCAGTGAGGAAGACTTCTTATTCACGTGCAGCTAAGGAAAGGTGTGGAGAGATTAGTTTCTTTTAGATTAATGCTGGGTCCCTTCTCTTGTCCTAGATGCACCTGGCTCTGTACTGCTTTGCAAACAGCCAACTCTCAACAGCACTGAACCTGCTGTACCGTGCACGCTACCTCATGCTGTTGGTATTTGGGGAGGATCACCCAGAAATGGCACTCTTAGATGTAAGTAATTTGTTTAGGAATCTTCAAGTTCCTAATCTCTGAGAAACCTCTTGGCCTTTAAGATGCCCACATGATGGCTGTTTAAAGCATTTAGGCAGTGCTTTTCCTCCCTGGTTGTTGCTGGTTGTTGCCATGAGATGAAGGAAAAAAGGAGTTTGACACTTTAGCTGGGAGGGTCAGCCTCTGTGCTGAGCTCTGCACTGGGACACTGCAGATGGTTTTGAGACCTGTAATCCTTAGGAAAACTCCTTTGTTTATTGTGTTCTTGTTGCACTGGCATAAACTGGAGAGTTTGTTACCTCCTTGTGCCTGGATTGTTTGAGCCATGGGGGACGATGGTCCCTGTCCCGTGTTACTGCTGCAGGGACTGGCCAGGGTCACAGCCCCTCTGGCAGTGACACACCTGTGGGGTCCCACTGTTCACAGAGCAGGAACTGCAGTGTCAGTGTGTCTTTCCCAATGCCTGCTTGGTTCTCTGTGCAGAACAACATTGGCCTGGTGCTCCATGGGGTCATGGAGTATGACCTGTCCCTGCGGTTCCTGGAGAACGCCTTGGCCATCAGCTCCAAGTACCACGGCTCCAAGTCTCTGAAGGTTGCTCTGAGGTGAGGCAGGGTGGGGTGCTGGGCTGGGTCACTGCTGTCAGAGCGAGCACACTCACTGAGCACTCACATGGGAGGGTCTGGGCTTGAGAACTGCATAGTCAGTCTTGTCCCAGAGCCAAGGTCATGGTGCAGTATCCAAGTATATTTCAAAAGATGGAGATCCATTGTTCTTAAGGTTAATGGGGAGATCTGCTGTGATGCTGCTTGCTCAAAACTCGGTCAAGATAAGCCTGGTCCCTGTGGACTCTCAATAGAAAAATGTATGTGGGAAGTAAAGGTTGGAGAGCCGGTAAGGGAATTACACTGGGAGACAGGGACAGTATGTTAAATGCTCATGTTTAATTGTTCCAGCCCTCAGAGAGGGATCTTTGAGAATCATTTAATGTGCTTTTGTCTTTTGCCATAAAGTTCTGTATTTGAATAAAAACCCTGAGTGGTTTCTGTGTGTTCCCAAGGGAGCTGGGACTGGTGACACCTGTAGGATCTGCTCCCAGTGCCCACTGCTGCAGTGCTGGATGCCCTCTGTCCTTCAGTGCAGAACTGGTTCTGTCAGCCAGGCATGGCCCACTCCCAGTTCTTGCAGCCATCTGTTCTCCATCAGGCTGCAAATCAACCTGATTAAACACCTGCAAGAGCCTGCCTTGTTTTCCAGTGGCTGATGAATGTGCAGGCTCCAGAGACTCTTCAGCTGTCCCTCAGTGGCACTGGGGTGCTTAGAGAGACCCGTCTCCTCCCACAGAGAAATGCTGCCAAACCCAGCAATTTCTTTTTCATTCCAGAAGCAGTAAGGCCAACAGTCCAAGCCAAGTCAGCTCTCCCAGCTGGCGAGAGCCCAGAGGACTCAGGCCTGGCTCTGCCTGAGGGCTGCAGCCTTCCTCTCCAGTTAATAAATCCAGCCCCAAGGTATTCCCACGGATCTGCCTCTCCCTTCAGTTCACTGTTGTGGCCTTCAGCTTTCCTGGGTGCAGGATAGAAGATGCCCAGCTCAGTCTTTACCTCTGTAGGTCACTTCTCAGCATTCCAGCTAAAATCCAACTAATTAGTGTAGTATTTGAATCCTCAGCTGGGCTGGGAATAAGTAACTCCTAGAGTGCTGCATTCAGTCTCCTTTGACACGTGTGTTAAGACTTTCAGCCCAGACACCAATGGCACAGTCACGCTCACTGTAGCACAGAAATGTTTCTTCTTCAGAGAAGTGACTCAGCCCTTTTCCTTCCCTCAGCCACCACCTGGTTGCCCGAGTGTACGAGAGCAAAGCAGAGTTCCGGTCGGCTCTGCAGCATGAGAAGGAAGGCTACACCATCTACAAGAATCAGGTGAGGAGTGGCCCCACTGTGCACTTGTGAGCTGTCACTGCAGGGCCAGAGTTGAGCAGTTCTGCTGCAAACCAGTGCCCAGCCTGGGCCTTGGGGAGGCCTTTCCTACAAACAGCTCGGAGCAGATGCCAGGGAGTCCTTGTAGGGCCAGGGCAGAATTGCTGCCCTGTGCAGTAACTGCCCACTGCTATGCCAGAGTCTTTGCTCAGCTTCCTGCAAATGTGTCCACGCTCCACCCATGGCTGGACAAGCACTTCTCCTGTGGCATGGCCCCACGTTCTGGTGGGGCTTGGAAAAAACTGGTCTCTTCTCATGTTTTGTGCCACTAGTCTTTAAATACCAGCTCCAAACTGGTTTGGTAGTGAGCTCTCAGCCTGCTGAGCTTTCAGGGTGCTGCTCAGTGAAACTCCTGCCCCAGCCCGGGGCTGTCTGAGCAGGTCTGTGGCTGCATGGGGTGACTCAGCTGAGCTGGCTGAGGGCACAGCCCAGTGTGGGGAATGCTGGAATACTGGTCCAGGTGGGGGGGATGCTGCTCCTGGAACAAGAGCCCAGTGCAGGGAATGCTGCTCACCCAGCAAATATGCTCCCACTTGATGAAAATGTGAAATGTTGATAAGAAGGTTCCCAGAGGAACTGTTTTACTTTTTGAATGCCAAGGCAGGTAAAATCCATTTTGCTGAGTTCCTGTAGGGGTGCTGAGCTGGCAGCAGCCGGGTGTGTTCCCTGGGTTGGGTCCTGCTCTCACTTGTGATGTTGAACCTTTTCTTTTTTCCCATTTCCCATCAGCTCGGTGAACACCATGAAAAGACCAAAGAGAGCTCCGAGTACTTGAAATACCTGACACAGCAAGCGGTCGCTCTGCAGCGCACAATGAACGAGATCTACAAGAACGGCTCCAATGCCAACATCATGCCCCTGAAGGTAACCCAGAGCTCTGGGGATCGTGCTCTGCCAGATAGAGTTTGTGCAGCTGCTCCTGAGGGACACGGACTGTCAGGAGGGGGTAGCAGTTGTCCCTTCCCAGGCAGAAGCCCTTGCTAGGGCAGTGGCTCAGACACAGGGTGGTGTCTGTCACCTGTGTGGATGGAGCACAGCGTTGCAGGGTGCCTGGGGAAGCAGCAGGGTACAGGGACAGCTCCTGGGGTGAGAGCCTGGCACACCTGCACACAACCCTGCCCTGCTGCTGACTCACTGCCAGGCAGCAGGTTGCTCAACCCAGAAATACTTCGGTTTCCTCATCCTCAGAAATGCTGTCATCTTTTACCAGATGCTTTGTTCTCCTTCCAGGGATGTTGTGGTTGGGGAGGCTGTGCAGAGAGCACAGAGGGGCTGTCAGGTTTACCTTACATGGAGCAGCAATGACTGGCCTTCCTGGGCCAAACCCAGCCGCTCCTGCCTGCCTCCACACCTGGCAGAGTACCCAGCCTGTGCCATGGGTGCTCTCCCTGCCACGCTGTACCCCAGCAGATTGGGGAAGAAGGTTGCAGCTGCAGGGAGGACACAGTGGGACAATGCTCTGTGTGTGGGTGTTCTCCCTGTGGAGAACTGGCAACAGACCTGACGAGTTCATGGCAATGAAGGGAGAACAAGGACCTTGAATCAAAAGTCCAGGGATTTGTGGCCAGTGAAGAGGCTCAAACCCATAAAAACATCACTAAGGGGTTTACCCTTGTTAAAATACTTAAAGGAGGGGAGAAAACCCAACACATTTTGGAGCTGGCACTGTGATGTATTTAACTGAAGTCCTGCAGGGTTCAGCAGGAGCTCCCTGCAGGGAAGCTCTAGATGGTGCTTTCCAGCTTACAGATACACAGAGATAGATCATGTACATAGTGCCGTTTTCTCAACTGTTGGTAAAGAGACATGTTTAGCAGTTCAGTGTCCTCTCCAGGTTCCTAAAACTTCTTTTCCCTTGTGATGTAGTTCACAGCTCCCAGTATGGCCAGTGTCTTGGAGCAGCTGAACATTATCAATGGAATTCTCTTCATTCCACTAAGGTACAGTGATTCTTCTGGGTTATGCCTTTAGAAATCAAGTCTGCATTGTCTTAGGTCACAAAAGAGCACAAACCAGCTCCCCAGGACTTGTTTGTTTTAGCCAAGATCCCAATCGAGGCCTTGATTAGCATCAAGACCACTGCAAGCAGCAGGACTATTATTATTATTATTATTATTATTATTATTATTATTATTATTATTATTATTATTAACTGTCTTTTATACTTCTAGTTGAAAATTTGATTAGGATGATGGTGGAAATAGGTGACCTGAGCCAAGACTGTTGTTCTAAGGCTGCAAATATCATTGGTGGTAAAAATGCAGCATCAGCAGCTGGAGGCTGTGAAGCCCCTGCTCTGCCCCAGCCCCACTGAGAGCGCAGATCCTGGTGCCTCTTTGTTCAAACCCAGGCAGCAAACTGGGCCCTGGCTGTGCTCAAGCATGGCTGAGCTGTGGGGGAGGGAGGTGCAAGCAGTGTTCCCCCATTGAACGTGACCTTGTCCTGCTTCACCATTCCCACAGCCAGTCTCATGTCTGCTCCCCTTCCTGCTTTCCCTTCAGCCAAAAAGACTTGGAAAACCTTAAAGCCGAGGTGCAGCGACGCCAGCAGCTCCAGGAAAGCATGAAAAGTGGGGAACAGCTGGAAGCAGAGGACAAAGCTGTGGAGGAGAAAGAGGCTGAGCCGAGCATGCCTTCTGCTGCCATCCCCTTAACACAGAGCTCTGCTTAACGTGTACCTCGCTTTAAAAAAAAAAGTTTAAACCACCCTTTTCTGAATCTGGCCCAGGGCCTTAGCTGCCCTCGGAGCAGCTCCTCCTTTTTGACAATGTTATTGCACTGGTACAATTAATACACAATGCAAAGAACTAATCTGAGCAATGTAATCTGTGTGCCCAAGGCTGTGTCTGCCACGCGAGGGGAGGTGGCCGGAGGCAGCACAGACCCGTCCTGGCGCGCGGGGCCCTCCTGCCGTGTGTGTGTCCGTGTCGTGTGTGTGCGCAGCAGTTATTTCTACTTTGTACATATCAATTCCAAATGAACTGTCTGGAGGAATGTAACATTTCTCAGGTCATTTTTATGTTGACTAAGGACACTGCTTTGCTAAACCAGTAAAGAACCAGCCCCATCACTGCTCCACGTTCTTGTAAAACGTGGATTCCAAGCCAAAAGATTGATTTCCCCCCAGTCACTATTCAAGCTTGGGCTGAGAACAGCCATATTTGTGTCACTGAGATGACTGAAGCCTGTGACATGTGGAAGTGGGGGATGTACAGCATTTTCTACATCAGGATATAGCCATGGGATCCCTTTAACCATTTTTTTCTATGTTTGGTTGGCAGTTTGGCAATTCAGTGGGGTTTTGTAACATTCACATTCTAATTTTCAAGGTAAAGATATAGATAGATATATATATATAGATATATATATATATATAGATATATATTATATTCACCGTTCCACCTCTGCCTCTGCTTGCAGCTGAGTAACTTGGGATACTGTATCCAAAGAGTGAGGGCTTGATCTTTAAAAAAGCGCACAAACTTCCATTGCAGTGGAAACCCCAGTGCCTCGGTGAGGTGGCAATGCAGCAAATGAGGGCTGAGCTAAGGGGAGTGAGGAGGGTATCACAGCCCTATTTGAGGGCAGGGGAGAGGGCAGGAAAATTCAGAAATAGAGACCTGGTATCATTTGCAACAGCAGCTGTTGATACAGAGCTGAGGGCCCTGAACCTGACAGAATCACAACCAGAAAGTACCAGGTTTTGGGGAAGGGGTTTAAATAAAACTGAAGTTCCCCCAGCACTGAAACCTCTGGCAAATACCTTTGCCTCTGGCATTTTTGCTCACTGGTTTTGGGACTGGCACTGGGAGCTGCCATTGCTGGCAATGGACGGTACTGAATGGCAAGTGCCACTAAAGAGCTCCTCCTGTCCCCTCCCCTCCCACACACATCCTGTGGGGTTGTCACTGTCCCCAAGCAGGTAAGATGTGGCTGCTGCAGGCCCTGGGATGCCGACAGAGTTGAATGTCCCGTTTTCCAAGCAGATCAAGCAGTAGAAGAAGGTTGGGCTGGCCGCAGCTGGTGCCCAGCCTCTCCCTGCCTCGCGTTGTCCTCGAGCGTGCCCCATGCTAATCCGTGCTGCTGCTCTTACTGACCCTTGGAGCCAAGTGCTGTCCCTGTGCTCTGTACCCTCGGTTTCCTGTCTGACCCTACAGGTATCTGTAACTCGGGGCTGGCGGGGGGGAAAGGAGGGAGCAGCCTCTGAGGTGCTGGAGACAACAAAGCAGAGTCCTCACTGCAAATGAACTTGCTCCTATTAGAAAAATTCTGAATTTCCTGGAAAGCAATCAATAAATGACTACAGTGCATCTTTCCTACAAGATTTTTCTTTTACTAGTGTCTTACAGTCCATTAAAAGCTTTTTAAACTCTTGGAGGTATTTTTTTTGTTTCTTTACTGTTTGGTGCAAAGTGTTGGTACCAGCACTGGAGCCACCACTCCTGTTCCTTTGAGCAGGAGCTGGGGGGAGAGAACAGGACCAGCTGACTCAGAGGCTTTAAAATCAGTACCAGAGTCACAACCCCAGCCCAGAGGGGGTAGGACCCACAACCTCTGCTGTCAGAATCCATTTGTGCTCAGGGAGATGAGTCACTTTGCCCTCATCCCAGGGGAGATGTGGGAGCAGGGACACAGCTCTGGGGATGTTGTACCCATGTGAAATGAGGCTGAAAGAGACAAGTCCTGGCTACTGAGGCTCCACAGCTAAGCAGCTCGAAGGACAATGCAGGCTGGTAAGTAACTGCATTTGCCAACATCTGTCTGTACCTCACTACCTCTTTTGGGTTCTGGGGGTTCTCATTACTCTCTTCACAAGTTCTTACGAGTGTAAAAACTGATTCAAATGGGCCCTGGGCCCCAGCTGAGCTGGAGGCAGGCAGGTACTCAACCCATTCACTGAAAAATGTTCCAGTGCCCATCAGTGCTCTGCTGGGACTGGAAACACCTCAGAGCTGCTGTCAGCGCAGCACTGCTGCACGAGCAACAACTCACCCAGCTAAGGGGGAAAATTAAATTTAGCTGCCCATACTGTTCTTACAACTCACACCTGAACCTGCCTTGTGCTCCCTGTGAGAAACTCACTGCTTGTGGACATACGAGGCTTGCCTTTCAACCGTCACCCCAAAAAACCACTTCTGTGCCACCCTGTCACCCCATCTGGGATAGCCCATGCATGCACTGACTCTGGCAGAACACAGAACTCAGTTTTTTTCCCAAATGCAAGTGAGTCTCATCCAATGTCCATCCCGTGTCTGTTCCCACTGCAAAGTACCACCCCACCAGCTGCTCCCACAGACCTCAGCTGGCGGGAGGGCCCTTTCATTCTCTCCCCACATCAAGCTCACAAGCACATCCATGCTCTTCCATTATGAAGATGCGCCCATTCCAGTTCTGGCCACTGACCCATCTCTAAACGGTACTTGAGGCAATTGGGGCCAAACCACAGGGAAGATTAAACCAAAGCACACACAGGCACAAGACCCTAACAGCAGCAGAGATGTTGCCAGAAGCCCCCAGTGCCTGCTGCTCCACAGCAGAGCGCCTGCCCCGAGGGTGGGCGGCCACGCTCAGCCACCGCCCCCGGCTCCAGCGAGGAGCACTGAAGGCAGCTCCTGCCTGCGGCACAGAGACAGCGTCAAGAGAAGGGAAAATCCCACCAAACCCAACCCAGCCAGGGCTGGCATGTGCCAGGCACAGGGACAAGGCTCTCCTGCCCACCTGTGAGTCCAGCTTAGCCCACCTGAACATTTCCTGTAGCAACTCATTGCATCAGATCAAACAACAAAACCTCTCACTACTCCAGCTGCCATGGACCAGCTCAAAACCACTTCCTGCAGCCTCAGGTGAGTACAAGTTAAATTAAAATCAGAGCAAGGGCAAAGCAGGTGGGAGCAAAATCTGAGGGTGAAACACCAATAGCTTTTTTCAAAATAGTTTTAATTCTTGCATCCAAGGAAACAAAACCACATCTAGTTTTATATGCATTTAATAGTTTACCAATTGGTACAATAAGATTTTTTTAATATGCAGAAAACATGAATAAATTTTGTTTTACACAGTCTGAGAGCAACAAATCTTACTGTAAAACACAGAGCAGTATTATATACATTCCTTTACCGATTTTGTTTTAATTGTGTCAATGCTTCAGTTAACTCCTACAGCCTGGGAACTGTTCTCTCCAATTGCAACCTCTAACAGCGCTCAAACAAACATCTGACATTTGCCTTCTCGTCGATGTCGGGATCGACTCTAAAGCGTGAGGATTTTGCTAACTTCTCTTCAGAATGAACTCGGGGAAGCCTGAGGGACAGGCAGGACAGGAAAGCAGCTACTTACATGACACAGTGGAAAGATAAAAAGGCCAGTTAACGCCAGTTGTGACTTGCAAATCCAACGCGACCCCCCCACTCCCCCCCCCCCGTCCATCCCACCCCTCTATGCACGTGCTCTTGCTACAGGACTCTCGGTATTGATTTCATACACGGACGTTATATACAGCTGGACACAACAGCTCACTCCAAGGGCGCTTCTCCTTTACTCCACTCAGCATTTGCAATATTCAAATCATTAAAGGATTACCAAGCCACCACTGTCTACAAAAACAAAGTATTTTTCCTTTTAACCAGCTCTCAGGGGAGTCAGGAGCTGTCTAAGAGTGTTTTCTCAGGCAGTTCACATGGACAGGAAGCGGCAGAGGAGAGGCAGGGACCCCATGCCCACAGTCCCCACTCACTACCAACCAGGGGTTGTTTTCCTTTCCTCAGTGTCCTGGGCACACATTGGTCACACCACACACAAAAGCAGGACGGGTTTGTTTCACCTTCTAAAGTGCAAGATGGTACAAAACACCAACCTCAGCTTCTATCTAAACCCCAGAAAATGTTGCACTTTCAGAGGCGTGTGGCATGCCGCAGGCTAGGCTAAGCCCAGGGAGCTGCAGTGGCGCTGGGGACAGGCCAGAGCTGGGTCCTGGCACGTGCTGCCAGGTTTAGTCAGCAAGTGCCAAAGCACCAGTGACCCTCTGGTCCCCTCCAATGCATCTAGTTCATTATTGACCCAGTAACCTCACTGTGGCAGATCTGACCACAGCAAAGGCACAGCACAAGCTGACAGCAACAGTGGGAACAGTTCCACAGCATGGCCCAGAGTGTCCCCCTCACTCCCATGCCTGTGGTGTGGCTCCCTTCCAGCCAGGGCTTCAGCTTTGGTCCGGTCAGGACCATCCCTGAGATTATTCCCTGCTGCCCCACAAGGCTCACTCTGCACAGGAGCAGTGTTGAGCCTCACACAGCAGTGACACTGCTGCCAGCACTGGGGCCGGGTGGCCTGGTAAATTGTGTCTTTGCTACAGGGAAAAAATGCAGTAGACAACTTCCACATCACAGGTACCTTTAATTTCTCATTCAGGTTTTGAGTTATGTACATGAGGGTGGTTTATTTTAGACTTAAATAAAGTTTCTAGGTCCTACCAGGAATTAAACAGATGTTATTACTTTACAGTTGCAGATGCATGGAGGGATTTAAGATGCACTACTTGTGTATCTGGAATTCTCCAATAGGACAAAAAGCAGCAAATTTTTCCAGTCCAAGCAGCTATCGAACAAAACAGATTTTATTCGTGCATGCTTATGCAGCAACACACACTGAGAATGACAGAAACCACTGGATTTAAGAGATTAGCCTGGATCTTAAACTGTCTCTGAAAACCCCCACATCAGAACCCCGCTTCTCCACTGCTTCCAGAGGATCCCACACCCCAGTCCAGCTCCTCCCACAGAACAAAGGCTCCTTCTGGGCTGACTGTGGGTTCCCCCCTCACCAGTGCAGTGCGTTCACCCTCCAGCCCACCCTATGCTGGTCAGGGACTCTCAGGGGCATTAAAAGGGACATTTTAAAAGCCATGGATTAAACCAAAGGAATAAAATAAAGCACAAATTCACCTGTTAAAACATCAGCCTGGTACTTCATTGTATTGTCAATTTTAAAGTTGATTTTTAAAAACACCTGGTTAGTTTGATAAGTATTGTAATTCTTGGTTATCTACAATGGAATCTGTCACAAAAATGCTGATTAAAATATTAATTTATAATATTTTCATTCATTTCAGATCAAAATATGTAACTTCAGGGATATGCAAATTAAAAATTGTGTACACCAAACAACATAAATACTAATAACTGAGCTGGGCTGGTTTTGCTGATAGGTTTGGTTTTAATGTTTATTATCATTCCCACAGATGGGTGTGGGCTTTGTTCATGGCATCTTTGTTTTAGAAGCCTGCATGGATCTGACCCGCCATTGTCAACTGATTCTCAAGATACTCAGTGCTTCCTTTAAAGCATTTCAATGCTGCAGCCCAAGGTTTTTCTCCACATGCAAACCCCAGGATGTTTTAATTGGAGCCACATTGCCAAGGTGAGGATCACCTCATTGTCCAAGGAGCACTAAGGAAACCAAAAAACTTTTGTATACCCCAATTTCCTGCCAGTGAATGAGGGAAGTGTCCTTTGATCCTGCTGTGTAAATAGGAATTGCACATCTCTAACAAACATGGAAAGCAAACAGCAAGTTGGACCATGGCAGTCATTTGGGAGAGGAAGCTCTACTGGAAACTGGATCACTAAACTCTAGTGGGATGGACAACTCCTCCTGGAAGTTCGTCTAGCATTAAAAAAAAACCAAACAAAAAACCATTTAAACTTAGTTTAACAGCACAGCTTAACCATTGAATGACCAAATAAAAAATAAATACATTTATCACATCAGCTGCGACTAAGATTTGTTGTCTTATTTCAGGTTTACAGTCAGTTCTATAAATATACCAACCCTTGCGTGATAGGAGGCCAAAACAAATGTTTTCTGTTGATTTGGCAAATGTTTCATGACAAATATTCCAGAGTTTAATTAATTTCCATTAATTACATATAAGGTTCAGAAGATTCTGAATTGCAGCCTTATTATCTAGTATTCTTAGAGAAGATTTATTAAGCACACTTAAGTGATGTTACATAGATACACATTTCTGAAAGAGCCCTACAAAACTTTTCCCAAATGAGGTCACCAATTCAGGCACCAACAGACAGCAGAAAGAAAAACAGGTATAATTATCCGACATAACGACACTGTCAACTATTCAGTTAAGTGCCCTATTCCAATCATCCCACTTCTGCCTTCTCAGGTCTGATGTGACCAATGCCAGCCCATGTTCTTAAACCTATGGTACTTCTAGACAACGTATGTAAATTTACAGTATACAATTTGGATTCACCATGCATGAATACTTTGTGTGTAACATTTAATAAGCTCAATCTACATCCAGAATAATTTACATGAAAGGACAATATTTATTTAAACAGAGCTCAATGGGTAACCATGGTATCTGAGTGCATCCAGAGGAAAAGGGGTCACTGTGAACTCCATCAGCGGCACTCCCACACTTTTACTGTTTGATCTACACTCCCAGTCACCACGTACGGGGCTGTCTTGTGGAAATCTGCCAGGAGACAAAAGCTCTCGTTACCAGTGAACCCAGAACTTCAGCATTTCCTACTCTCACTGAATGGCACTGCTTTTTCAAAACAATTCTACCAGCTCAAAGGCTAAATTCCAAAGCTCCTGGCTATACTTCTGTAGCCAAATTCTCTCGTGCCGTTACCAAGATCTGGTAACACAAACCAGGAATGTCCAGGAATTCAAAGTAACTCTTTTCTGACTGCTGTGCACACCCTACTTTTCCTTTTGCTGGGCAAGCACTGACACTAGAACCCTCCCCACGTGCCTGCACGCTCTGGTGACAGGTTCCAGAACTCCCTGTCAGTTAACATTCTTATCCATGAGCAACGCTGGCAGCAGAAGTGGAAAAATCCAGCACACTCCGAACTCTACAACTCACATGGGTGGGGGGGTTTGACTAGAAACTGGAGTTAATTTCTAGTTCATTTCTTCTACACAGAGAGCACAAGGTGCCACTAGGGCCCCAGGGTGCCCAGCTGCAGCAGCGGGGAAGCAGCAGCTCTGGCACAGAGAGCAATACGTACCCAAAGAGGTAACAAAGTGTTCGTGCGCGTTGAGGGTTTTCATGCATCGCTTGTTCTTGAAGTCCCAGACACGGAGAGTCTTGTCATCAGCACAGCTCAAAATAAACTTTCCCCCAGAATGGAACAGGACGCCACGTACCCAGTTATCATGGCCCACCTTGTGCACAAGGAGAGATCAGTGAGCAGGCTGAGAGCTGAGCATCCCACACCTCGCACTAGGGCACACTGGGGGACCCTGCCTGGCCCCGCAAGGACAGCACTGAGCTCCTGAGACCTCTGAGAACTCACAGCTTATCTCCAGTTTCTATTATTACACCTCTATCAGTCCTCCCAACAATGCAAGTTCCTGTACTTGAAGGCAAACAACCAGCAGTCCTCATGTGATCTGCACCAGTTCTGCTCTCCACTCCCAGCACCACCACCCAGAATCTGAGCTGGGAACAGGAGGTCATGGCCCGCAGGAAGTCCCACATGTGCCAGCAACGTGATACTTCACAGAAGACACAATTCAGACGATTACCAGCATTTCTGTAAACAAACCAAGCTACTCATAACAGAACCTACACCACAGTACTGCATTCACACTATGATTTTGGAGATTGTCAGTATTTCTTAGCAACAACAAGATCTGAACTATAGAAGCCATTAAAGCTGTATTTCCAGCATTTGGATTATTCTAACTCTGGCTTCTCTTGAAAACATGACATGCAAGATAATACATTTCATTAAAACTGGTTGTACATATGCAGCTAGGACTGCCAGAAAAAACACCAATGGACTTACAAGTGTCATAAGGCACATGCCAGTGCTAATGTCCCACATCTTAATGGTCTTGTCTCTGGATCCAGACAGCAGAAAAGGCCCAGGCTTGCCACTCTTCTTAGTCTACAGAAAATTATGTTTTAAGTTATGGTACGCATAGGATGGAAGCAGCAAGAAGAGGAATGAAGCAGATCCCTTCCCAGTGATATTGTTTAGTACCAAAATCAGATCATACAACAGCTTACAGCGAGTAAACCCACACTGACAAAGCTGTGTCACAGGCACTGGTACTAATGCTAGGAGAATTACACAATCTGTTAAAAGAAATGGTTGCTTGTCCTGCTGATTCCACAAGCCAAGTAACACTTTGAATACACACTTGCCTACTGCAAGACATCCTGTGTTAACAGCAGACACAGCTCAAGGGCCACATCTTGGGACAAACAAGGATGCAGCTCACACATATTTTTGTGCTCACATTCTTCATAAAATGTAATGAAGCAGGGTTAAGAATTCCTGAAAACTTCCTCCTGTGAAGTGATTTCTGTGTGTGCCCATGCACGGTGTGACCACGGCCAAGCTCTCAGCTGCCCCAGGTGTGCAGGGAAGGTGCTCCCCTGCGGGCTGTGCCCGATCCCTCCAGCAGGGGGCAGGGGAGGCACCCTGCAGAGCCCACACGGCCACAGGAAGGACACACCGACTCTCCTTTTAATTTATCATCAAAAGATTATACGGATCTTTAAGCGATTCAAGTAAAATTTGACTGAAATAACCTGTAAAAGCCATCACTAGTCAAGTCTCTGTGTTCAGTGTGGCTACTTTTCCCCTGGAGTGTCCATGGCCTTTGGAGGAAGAGGACAAAACAGCAATGCCAGGCAGGGGGCTTGACTAGAAACTGGAGCTTATTTCTATTTCCTTTTTTCTACATTTTAACATCCTTAGAACAAAAATTTCTTCAGGCCTTTAGGTTTTCCTGAGGCTCACTAGAAGGGGTATCAGTGATCACACAAACTGGAACTCATTTTAGTTAAGGAATGCTTTCCCCCATTAGTAGCTCTACAGTAAATCACAGCAATCGGTGCTTGACTCCAGCACACTGCACTCTGCACCCAAGACAGCTTCATTCTGCATTCCTGACTGGCTCCTTCCCCCCTCTACCTTTCAATTGCTAAGCATCCTTATAATCTTCACATTCTGCCAGAGAAGCTGCTTTACACATTTCTTTGCTGCAGTACAAGACAGCAGTCCCACTCTCACCCCTCTCTGAACAGAGCATCTCCCTGAAGTTCACTTTCACTAGTGCAAGGATAGGTCCTAAACACAAAAGCTGGATCCTGGGAAGCCAAGACGGGGCTTAGCTGCACACCAAGATACTCGGACCAAAGTCCTCATACACCTGCTGTAGCTGCCAGGCCCTTGAGCCCAAAGCTGAGCGGCTGTCAGTGCTACACAGAGCACGGACAAAGATCTCCCCGTGCATGCTGGTGTAACAGCCCGGAATGTTACCTCTGATCCTGTAGCTTCTGATATGGTGGAGTAGGAGCTCTCAGGAGCCCAGGAAATGCACTCTACCACATGCTCGTGCTCTCGGAGCTCAGCTTTGCACTCCTTTGTCGCCACCACCCACACGCGCACCGTCTGGTCGTTGGAGCAGCTGGCAATCAAGGTGCCGTCCTGGTTGGGCCGCACCATGCGCACCCATTCTCTGTGCCCCGTGAAAGTCTTCACGCAGTAACTGTGCAAGAGACACAGCATCACCAACTGCTGGCACAACCGCCCCCTGCACGGGCTTGGAAAGCTCAGGACACCTCACCTACTCAGTGCTTAAGATAAAATATTTTAGTGCACACATGTTCATCCGGGCAGGTGATGGAGCACGCCATGAGTTTGTGGAAAGGATGCTGATGTGAGAAAGCAGCAACAGCTAGGAGCTAGCTAAAACTTGCTAAGGTAAAAAGCAGGAAACTTGGGGGAAAATTAAGTTGACATGACTACTTGCATTAAACAGGTATTTTAAGAACAAGCAGAGATTTACAGGTGATTTAGGTTATTAGAGAGACAATTGATAAATGAAACAAGCAAGAAGACAAAAAAAAATCAGGGGACACCTTGATCTGTGTCAAGAAAGGTAACAGATACCTTCTTTAAACTCATAGTTAACCAATGAATTTATTTTCGTAACTGGTCATGAGCTAGAGATCTACCCTCATAGCTTCTAGAAAGACAAAACCAGTTAGCTTTAACTAGTCAGTATTAACATCTAAACCCCTCTACCTAATGACTGGGGCAGAATCTTTCAGTGAATTACTCTAAACAGCAGAACATCATTTCTCAATCCAAAGAGTGCCTGCTGACATTCAGATTCCTGTGTCCCATTTCTACACACAGTGGTTTCTCCTCGCTTTTGTTCTGGTGCTGTTTGCTCACAAGTGCACTTACCCTGTCTGGACTTCCCACATTTTGATAGTTTTATCCCTTGAGGCAGAAACTATATGATCTCCGTTGGGCATGATGGCTACCGAAGAAACGTTATGATCATGACCTGAAAACAAAATAAAGCCTTTATTAAGTGGCACTGGCAGAATTTTCACAGAGCACACAGGACTTCCCTTTTTTTTTTATCTTGGTGAAGTAGCTACAGCAGCAGAGCATGCTTTATTGAATAATCTTTACATGTAAACTTGAGGTTTTATGAAATAATCATCCATACTTTTAGAACCCACACAGTCCAGACACTGAGCATCCTTAAAGGTGCTTTTCGTTTACTTGCATATACCTATGGGTGGGTGTTTATTTTTTTAAGTCTCAAACATTCTCTCTTTCTACTCACCCCTTCTAAAAAATGATCCTAAAAGCAAGAAAAAAGCTCTAACATAAGACTATAAAAACCATTTGCTGTCAGTATTAGAATCTTACAGCTGTGGGTGTTGTACTTTCTCATTTTTCCTATGGCTTTCAAACCCAGTGCAAAGGGAACGTTCCTGTGTGATCAAACACATGCAGCCAAACCCCACATGGAGCAGCCACAACTCCTCTGGCACTGATTCCTCCCTTCCTCTGGCCCTGCATCAGGAACTGGGGGCTGAAGAAATCTTTCACTGATTTGAAGGCAGTTTTACTGTCTAGCAAGCATTTAATATTTAAAGTTAAAATCCCTCAGTCATTTTATTTCAGAGATGCTTCCTACACCATCATGCATAGTAGATTCAAGATGCTATTTCATTCCATAAACACTGCATGTATTCCCCTATTTACAGAGCACTCAAAGTATCAAACTATATCCCCCCTTTTTCTTTTGGAAAATACTCTGGTCTATAACCCCATTCCACATCAGCAGTTTTCCTGGATTAAAAAAAAAAAAAAAAAACCAAACCCAAAAAATCTCTTCACTTTACAGACTGCTAAATCAATCCCTTAATACCTTACCATGCATAGTTCTGATGCACTCAAAGCCCTGGAAATCCCATAGCTTAATGGTCATATCAGCAGAACAGGAGGCCAAGAGTTTGCCAGTGTGGTCAAAGGAAATATCCTGCACAGAGTCTGTGTGCCCCTTCAGGGTTCTCTCAAAGTCTCCTGTCTCATAATCCCACACCTGACAAGGGAACAGACAGCCTGTTAGCAGCAGCCCATTACTCTTTGTATTCCCTAGCCTCACATTTGCACTCTGCAGGCCAGTCTGGCACCTTGTTCAATAATTAAGCAAGCAAGAGACAGACAGCCCTAAAAAGCTAAACAGTAGACAAAAATAAATTTCTTTTTATGTGATTTTGTTACTTATGAATTAACGGAATTAATGCATTTTGAAAACTATTTTCAGCTAACTTTAAGCATTATAAGGCCAGCAGGAGAACATGTTTCACTGTATTGATGTCACCTATTCCACAGGCAGTTGTCTGGAGCACACACATACCTTTATTGTGGCATCCTCTGAAGCAGAGACCATAACACTGAACACTGGATGGAAAATGACTCGGGTGACAGGACTCCTGTGCCCACTCAATGCATACTTCTCTGGAGGACGAGGAATCCACTCTTTAGGGTCTCGTTTCTGACCAAGAGGTCCACCTGATGTAAATTCTTCCTTAGCTTCATTCAGCTTCGATTCTAATTCCATTACCTAAGTGTAAGAATTTTAAAGAGACCTTTCATTTCCAGTTTTATACAAGATCTAATTCACTTTCTTCATTAGTAATCCAAATAACAACTGACTCCAAAACTCACAGAAAAGCCAAGATTGCATGGACCGAAATTGATAACCAACATTCAGTAGCACTGGTTTTAAAAACCAAACCTAAATTAATCATTTATAGTTAATTCTTAATAATCTAATCATTAATCATTTATTCTTTTCAAATTCTCAAATATTTTCACAGGAAAAAAAAGTTCTACAAAATCCCCTTTACTCACACACTGTACAAATACATCTCAATTACTATTGTGCCAAACTACCAAAGAAGGTTGTGCTAACAAAAAAGGAATGCCACTGCTGCAGGAATTCTGTGTCCTGCTGGAGCTAGCACACACATTAACCAACAACAGAAACACTGGAGGGCTAATAAACCCTCACTGTATTAACCTGCAAAAGGGATAGGACTTCATTGTTAACACACTGATTTTAGGGTTTTTTTTGCTTTTAGTACACTCTTGAGCCATTGAAGCATGACTAAAAAGAGTTTTGTACTCTCCACTTGCAGCACAATCCCCCACTGGAATGCACTGGAGCTAATGGCTCCTTCCCTCTAGGGCCATGGCCAAAGACAACAGGCAGCACTGATTGTCCCTCCGTTCCAGCCCAGCCTGACCCTCAGCACACAGCAATTCCACCTCCCTGCTCACCAACTGCCTCAAGGCACCTCCTGCCTCTCCAGCTGCAGGGCTGCACATGCACGTTCAGTGCCGAATGCTTTCTGGGCTAACTTTGTATACGTCTACATCCAGCACATCTCTACTTACCTTCTTTTGTAATCTTATAACAGATGTCCATTTCTTTTCCAGAAGTCCAGCATACTTCTTATCTAACTCTTCATTCTGAGAAGAGGCATTTAAAGGAAGAGGAAGAAAAGCAACACAAACGTCAGAGGTGCAGAGGTAACTAAGTGCTGCACATCCTTCCCATTACAAAATAACAGTCTCATACTACAATAATCCTAAATGTGATGAAGATAACAGACATCAGAAAATAACCATGCCAAGGCTTACTCCACAGCAGACAAAAGCTCTGAGGACTTGCTGCCTTGGTCAGAGACAGATGTTAATCTACTGTTATAGGGGGGCACTTATGAAAGCTGGAGTAATGAATGATCCATACAAAAATTAAATCTCTCTTTGTAGAGCTACACATCTATCATTCCAATTTACTCAAATATTTTCAGCCTTTACCTTTTCTTTCCACTTTAGTATAGCCCACTCCAGTTCAGATTTTCTTGTATAAAAGTTGTGAAACTTTTAGCAGCTGTGTTTTCTCTTTCCCTCAGGACCATCTAACCTATTTAGATTGCTTTCCTAAGCTTTGGGAAGAGGAGACTAAATTAGGTTGATAGATAAGGCAGATAGGGAAATGATATTAGGATTTTCAATTATAAGCATGGTACTTCAATTTGTCATTTCTACTTATTTATTCAATACTAGTAGCAAATTGGAGAAATTAAGTCAAACTTCAAGCATTTTGGAAAAAGAACAATGCAAGATATGTAACAAAGAAAAGGCAATGTAGCCATATGAAATGCACACCTCCTATGCTAATAGGTGGCAAAGTTAAAAATTATACCAAATTATCTGTGACAAAGGCAAGTCAACAGAATGAAGTTGCAAGAAATGACTGGTCTGAGTCATTGGCATCTGTAGAGTCTAAGCAAACAGAGCTGCTTACCAGAGCTGGTCACACAATCACAGAATCACAGAGTGGTTTGGGTTGGAAGGGACCTTGAATCCCATTTTGTTTCACCCCCCTGCTGGGGGGAACACCTTCCACTAGAACAGGCTGCTCCAAGCCCCATCCAACCTGGCCTTACTGGATGATGAATCTCTGTGAACTGTTTCAGCCTGCCCTCCTACTACACGGTTACCCAAGAGGTATGCAACAGACTCGGGCAATGACTTAACTCCTCATCCAACTCAAATCTCAAAAGGACTTTCTGAACTGAAACATAGATGAAGAATCTTGTTTGAACTCACCACATCTAATTCAGCTTCCTTTTTAAAAACCGAGTACGCCTCCTCGTAGCCATTGGAACGGAGGTAATCTGCTATCGCTCGATTTCTACAAAACAACATTTCCAATACAATTGAAGGACTCAGGGAAATATTGTCATCACAACACAGTGCATTCTGATCAGATCCTTGTCTACGTTATAAAGTAAAATAGCGAAAAGTGTCCAGAATTTACTCAAGATAAATGAAGAATTCATAGATTGCAGCTTATATTGCAATGTGCTTACTGCAAATTGAAGAATCCATTTTTTATGCCACCAGTAACTTTGAAATTCTATTTTCATCATTTCCCAATTCTAGTTTCAAATACCATCAGTTCTAGCAAAAATAAAGAGTAGAGAGATCCAAACCACAATACACAGTACTTAAAGGGCATGTCAACAGAGACACTCCAAAATCTATTTTGAAACAAATGCTAATAATTGAAGTTTAATGAAAATGCAACACACACTTAAAAACAATGATCCCTTACAGTTCATCTCGTTGCCTTTGTGACAGCACCATCGTGGCTGAGATGTCAGGTTAACGTGATCGAGCAGTGGCTTCTCCTCAAGAGCTAAAGTCTTGGGAACCCAGGATCCACAATTCAGTCTGCCACAGTGGCTTAAATCACAAGTATTTCCCCAGATGTCAAACCCAGTAGGAAATCCAGAGGCATTCAACACAGAAGATTCAATCCATCTACAAGGAGGAGAAAGAGACATCATTTGTTTCCTTGAAACAGGCATTGCTCAGGCAGCTTTCTTAAATTTATCCAAACAGCATCTTTAAAGACTCTGGCTCTAGCCCAGCATGGGGCCCTTGCAGCTACAGTGCTACACAACTGCAGCACACAAATGACTTTTCCCACTCCAGTACCACCACCTGAGGGAGTTTGGAAGAACCTTTGAATAAGAGACAATACTTGTTCTCTTTGTTTACCTGGAGTTAATACTTCATCTCACCCATGTTCAGGGCACAGCAAATTTTTAAACAGTCCTTCAACCTGGTCAGAGTGGCCCCATTACGACGGGTAGAGGTGCCACAGGCCCATGACTGCAGCTGGGCTCAGGCAGTGGAGCGATCGCAACACCTCTGGCAAGGCCACCCAACTCAGGATACAGCTGAAACCCGACACGCTCGAGGTGGCTCAAGCCAGTGGGGCTGTGCTTTTCCAAAACACAAACTCATTAGTATCCTTTGATTCAGAAACATGAACTGCAGCATTCTCAGTGCACAACCTGCTTCAACTGGGCAGCTTCAACCTCTGCTCAGTGACATCACCAAACCCACACTGCCTTTGCTTTCTGCACTGCAGGGACCTTGTGAGCACCACGACCATGGGAAGTGCTGAAATGGCACTTCTTGCACACCTGGCAGGTTCTGGACAGAACTCATCATTCACTCAGGCTGCTCAGCAAGTCTGATCAACCAACCAGCCTTCAGCACCGAGATAAGCTGAGGCAATGCACAGAGCTCAGAGACAGCAGGTGGGTTTGTAAACTTTCTACCGACGGCTAAGGACTGCACACTCCCGTGCCTCACCTCTGCCCCTCCCTAGACACACAGATACACTGACTGCAGTATCACAGCTCAATAACAATTTCAGTAAGGAGCCCCCTCTAAACAATAGCCTGCTATGAAAAAAGTAAGGAAAATACCAAGTGTGTATCATTAATGGCTACTTATTCATCACAGGGGATCAGAGGCTTCTTTCTAAACCTATCTAGGCCCTGCTGTCTGCTTCAAAATGAGCTTAAGCAGCAAGTTGCTTGTTTCCACGCTGTTGGTGGATCTTCCACGTTAAATGCTGCACACTGTAATACTGCCTGCTAGCCAGTTACGATAGGAGCACTCTGAACAGGCAATGCCTCATTTAATTAGTCTTACCTCTTCCCCAATAGCTATTTCAGAAACAATTTGGCTGAAAACTAACAGCATAGGCTTCAAGCTTTCAGATAACAGAAGCAAGCATTTCACCTCCTCTTGTCCCATAACCCAATTCATGCCAGGTAAAGAGACAACTGGGTTTCAAGAGACGTTCGGTGCTCAGTACAGAGCAGAGTACCACATGCAGATGAACGGAAATCCAGTTAACATCAAAAATAAGGTCCTGCAGTGCTGAGAGGCGCCCGCAGAGGGCGCGCCGCGGGACACGCGGTGCCGAACCGGGCTCGGCGCAGCGGCGGCGGCAGCGGAACGGGAGCGGGCACCTCGCAGCGCCCGGCAGCGCCCGGCAGCGCCCGGCAGCGCCCGGCAGCGCCCGGCAGCGCCCGGCAGCGCCCGGCAGCGCCCGGCAGCGCCCGGCAGCGCCCGGCAGCGCAGCGCCAACACACAACGGCCAAAATCTGCCTCCAGGCCTGCCAGAGGAAAAACCTGCAGTGGGATTTGTATTAGGAACCGCCACTATGCAGTGAATGCCTAGCGAATCCAGTGCCAGCGTACTGACCCCAGTAAAAAAGCCCAATATCTCATCAACTTTGTAGTGGCATCTGGGAGATGCAATTATAGATAGCACTAGTCTAAAAATAACAACAACTGTGTTTGTAAGGCCATCTTTCACATGTCATCTATTTAGAAATGCATTTTCCCTGTCAAATGTAAAGTAACCCCAAACTTTTCCATATCCCATATCCGCTTCCCAACACCTGGGCTGCTGCACAATCTAACTCTGAATTGTTAGTGAGAAACAGATCCTAGTACTAGATAAATTCCAGTAGCCACATGGCAAAGTAGCTACTCCTGCTATTAGCAAATTCCAGCTGAGCTAAAGCCACCAACCAGCTGATCTACAGCTTCTCGCTCCTCCAGAAGGGTCTGTTCCAAGCACCCTGCTCAGCATTCCTGACTTCACTAAAAAGCCACCTGAATAGAAGGGGAAGTATTTTTAGGACTGCCTCCTTCATAGACAAAACCAGAAAAACAAAACTAAAACAACCAAAGCCCACTGTAAACAAAGAAAAAACCAAAACAAACAAAAATCCCCCACACAAAGAACCCACTCAAGCACAAGTGTTCAAACCCCAAAAAACCAAAAGGACCACCATTAATTACACACCTGTGCCACTATGTGAACTACCTTTTTTTCAGCTGGAGCAGACCTTGTGACATACAGGCTTCAGCACAACAAGACTAACCAGTCCTCCCCATCACCTATCAGCCAGCACCGTGCTACCCTCAGACAGCCCAGCCATGAGGGGCAGCTGGAGCTCTGGGGGAACCCTGGGGAACACAAACAACCCACAGAGAACTGCCACCTGTCCAATGGTCACTTTGTATCAGCATATTAAGGCAGTGTCAAGACAGAGTTAGATATTCTTCTGAAAGAAAAGGTGTCTTGGCATTAGAATTTTACTCTGTCCACTATTAAATACAGGAAAAAGCACACTGAATTTAGCCACCCATGGAGTAACTGCTACTAATTTAGTGTGAACCAGGATGTGCCTTTTAGTAATACCCACTTACACTCTTCCAAGTTGTAGTTTCTAACTTAAAACCTATCTGATTCCCTATCAATAGTGTGCATATACAAAAGCACCAAGTGGCAAACCTCTGCCGAAGGACAGGAACAGAGGGCTACAGGTGTTCTCAGCAAGATCAGGTGTCACTGTAGGCCTTTTAAAATTGGGAGCTGGCAGAGACCTGAAGCTGGCACAGGTAGGACACATGCAATGGGCACCTCTCACTCCTCCTGGCAGCACAGGACCTGCCTGGTTTTTTACAACAGCACAAACCATTCCTTACCTATACAAAACATACTCCTCAGCTCCACTAACAGCAGCAGATCCTCAGCAGGCAACTGCACCTCATCCCAAGCTGCCCACCTTTCCACTCAGCTACAGATCAGCTTTTTGACTCAGGACTGGCAGAAACATCAGAGAGTACAGAGAGCAGACCTCCTTCAATCCTTTGGTGCTGCAGGACTAGAGAGTGGCATACTAAAGCATAATCTTTAAAAACAAATCAATTTTAAAAGAGACAGCCCTGCACCGAGCTGGCACGGACAGGAACACCCTCTGCCCCAGGGTGGCAGAGAGGATTCCACACACCACTGCTGCTCCCTGCCTTCAAACCCTGGGCTCTTCCACTGATGCCTAGCAGTGTGGCTCAAGTGCTCCCGAGATTACTGGAAAACTTCACAATAACCCAATGAGAGACCTGCAAATGATTCATAAATGCACCAACAGCAAAATGAACTAAGTTCAGCTCCGTTTGTTAGCTGAGACAGCTCTACAGGAGGTATCCAAGCACAATAGCTACACGCTCAGTCACAGCAATGAGGTAGGGAAAAAATAATCACTTTCAGGCAAGAGATTCCCCTCAGCTCATGGTACGCTATGCCAATAAATGATACACCTTGCCTTGTAGGTATTTCTATGACTGTGTTCATACCTGCTTCAGGAGACACTTAACTGACTAACAGTGCCCATTTCTGCTGCTCAGAAAAAGACACAGTAGGTTTGGGCTCCACAAACAGTCTTCGCCACAAAAACACAAGCTATGTACACTAAACATGTAACTGTAGCTCAAGTGATACATGGCATCAATTACAGAGCTAAAGCCTCAGCAGATACAGAACAGACCAGCAGAGTGCAGCTCTGAAAGCTCAACAAACCTTTAGCTCAACACTGCTGTGCTTTAGGAATTGTGTATTTTTACAGAATTCTAATACTTTAGTTAACACAGCTACAAGACCACTTTTTCCGTAAGTATTATTATGACAACATTTTAAATTATATTCTCCAAGAACGTTTATTGAAGGAAACAAAATCGGGCATCACTTTTGCAGACTGCCAGCTAAGGCACACCTAATACAAAGTATTTGGTGTTAAAAAGGCACATGAGCCATCACCAGCATCAGGGTCACACTGTGAAGTCAGTTAAGAGTTTTTTATTACTCACATTAAGGTTCCAATTTAAATCTTAGCTTATCATTTAAAATGTCAATAACCCATATAAAACTTAAAACATTTTGAAGTGTCCAGCTACATGCTAGCAACTTTCAAGTGGTTTTTCTAACACATCATATCATTCTTAAAAGGTTTTTTTACCTCAAAGAAAACTCCTGGAGTTTACTTCTGTGTTGTTAATATACGCAAAATCCTACTTCAGTTATCTCCCTCTCTTCTGCTAATTTTATAATCCCAGTGAAAGGCCAGTCATTTATGATAACCAAAGGCCACCAAAAAGAGTAACTGAATTGATATGATCAGAATTATATTCCACAATTCTTTAAAGCTGAAAGGATCCATTTGTGCATTACCAAAGGCGAAACTCTTGTTGCATTGTCTCTTGCTACTTGCCTGGCACAGGAGGTCCTTGCAAGGTTCTTCGACAGTGTATCCTGTTTCATAACATTAACAAGAGAACCTAAAGGGGTTATTTGGGAGTAATTCCCAGGCAATTAGAGCTACAGTCCTTATGGAAGAACTAGACCACATGAATTGCTCTCTTACACCTCTGGATTAGGCTGCTAAATTCTATCAAGTATATAAGAAAACTTCCTTTTAATTTAAACTCATTTTTAATGGGCCTGATATTGTTTGAAAAGCATAAGCAAAAAGCTGCTCTATCAAACTCAAACCACAGACAATTCTTTCCACAATGTACTCAAAACCAGATTCCATAGAAGTGAAGTAATATCCATAGTTCCTAGGCATAACTATCAGGACCTGAAAAGGGTTCCTAGATACGTCTCTATC